AACAGATGAACCTCACGCCGTCCGTTGCTACTACAACCCTAAACCCTGTAACTTTTAACCTCTCAGAAGAAAGCCAACTCCCGCAGTTCAAGCGCCCAAATGAGGTACCAACAACTGTTGAGACTAGGGCATTCGGGGCCCAAAGCCCTACCGTTTGGTACGTGGACCTCTCTAGGGCCCCTTGTAGAACTTTTGTGGAACCCGAAACAAAACCCTAAACCCGAAACTCTGAACCCTGAACCCTAAACCCGAAGCCACAGAACCCTCATAGAACCCTTGAAAGGAGCTCTGTAAGCCAGAAGAGAAACCCTCGAAGGAACCCTCATATGGGAGTTTCCGAAAATAGGGGACCCTAATATATAGTGCCCTAAACTCGGAAACGCCCATATACCGACAATCTTTTGCGGGAGTTTCCGAAAATCGGGGACCCCAATATATAGTGCCCTATACTAAATGGTAGGATTCTTGTTTATAAGGACCCCAAAAATTTCGGAACTCCCATATACTTATATATATATATATATATATATATATATTTATATAATGCCCTAAATAGTAGGTTTCTTGTTTTTAAGGACCCCAAAAAATTTCGGAACTCCCATATTACAATTTTTTGCGGAGGTAGCCTCGAGGATCTTTGGGTCGTCGACGTGGACGCGGGAGTCTCTGGTGTTGGGTTTCGGGCTTCCACCCAGAGACTCCAAAACCCATTAATTAAGGAATATACCATAAATCATATTAGGATCCCTACTATAATTTAAGGTATATTCCTTAATTAAGGGGTTTTGGAGTCTCTGGGCACGTTGACGGTTAGGGTTTAGGGTTTAGGGGTTTTTGGGGGTTTTAGGGGTTTTAGGGGTTCAGGGTTAGGGTTTAGGGTTGAGGGTTTAGGGTTTAGGGTTTAGGGGTTTTAGGGGTTTTAGGGGTTTAGGGTTTAGGGTTTAGGGGTTTTAGGGGTTTTAGGGGTTTTAGGGTTTAGGGTTAGGGTTTAGGGTTGAGGGTTAGGGTTTAGGGTTTAGGGGTTTTAGGGGTTTAGGGTTGAGGGTTTGGGTTTAGGGTTTAGGGGTTTTAGGGGTTTTAGGGGTTTAGGGTTAGGGTTTAGGGTTGAGGGTTTAGGGGTTTTAGGGGTTTTAGGGGTTTAGGGTTAGGGTTTAGGGTTGAGGGTTTAGGGGTTTTAGGGGTTTTAGGGGTTTAGGGTTTAGGGTTTAGGGTTTAGGGGTTTTAGGGGTTTAGGGTCAGGGTTTAGGGTTTAGGGGTTTTAGGGGTTTAGGGTTTAGGGTTGGGTCCTTGGTTTAAGGTCTGGCTTCTGGGGTTTTGGGTTCGGGTTTGGGGTTTGGGATTTCTGCTGCGTAAGGGTCCGTACCCACTGCTTGGGGTTATGGTGTGGGTTGGGGTTTGGGGCACCAGAAGGTTCAATGTTCGGGTGAGATGTTGGTTTCAGTCTTAAGGATGTAGGGCTTGGGGGTGAGACTGCTGATGGACAAAATCCTGCATTACCCATTATGAGGAATATACCATAGTTCCCAGAGTTTAGAGTCCTTAGGGTCATGCAGGATTTTGTCCATCAACAGGACTACAACATGTCAGAGTAAGTCGCAGCTGCATCTTCCCCCGCCTACACCGCCATCCCACACCATCTGCCGGCAATCAGATCTGCCTTACTCCAAGGCCCCATGTACCTACATAGTAGATACTTAAGCCTTAAAGGAGTCCCTACATAGGTACTTCACGGCCTAAGTATATACTATATGGGGACATGGAGCCTTAGGGTTAGCGCACCAAAGCACGGAGCCTTCAAAACCCGACCACAGTCTTTTCCGTCTGTATGCAATGGATACGCTTAACTCCATAATGCAATCCTGTTCTTGTGCAGCTGCGGAAATCCAGAAAGCCCCGTAGAACCCTAAACCCGAAACTTCAGCCCTAAACCTTCAACCCTATGATTCCGGTTGAGAAATTAAGACCCGAAGCCCCCCCATGCACAGGATCCGAGGAATTAACTCGTGTTGTGTTTATGAGACTCACATGATAGAGGGTCGGAGTAATTCGGAACACTGTTCCGCTATATTGTACTCACACACCCCAACCATATTCAAGGTATCAGTGACTTATTGTCCCGTGTTTACCACCACCTCCCACGCAAGGCATACACCCCGACATGGTCAGAGATCACGCCCGTGACCACCGCTCTAGCCAGCCCTTCGACGATGAATGTCCAAGTTTCTGTTTGGCGGGTTTTAGGGTTTCGGGTTAAGCGTTAGGGTTTATTCAGTTCAAGGCTTTGGGATTCATGGTCCAAACCCTTGAAGTTCTGAACGCTTTAGGTCGGGGTTTTTTGGGGACAAGCCACCAGAGATAATAGTTTATCTGCCTCGCCGGGGGGTGGAAATCTACGGAGTATGAATGATTCCAAAACCGCGACCCGTCATAGTTTCGGTTTCACTCACATTGCACACTTACTGGTTGCAGGGCCTGACCCTGAGCCCCTTCAGATGTTTGTGGTTTCGGCTCGTGCTAACAGCTTGAGGGCTTCGGTCACAATCTTCTGAACCGTGCATATACTGCACTGTCATACATACTTCAGGTACACGCAGCCTCGCCTGCAAATGTTACCCAAACCTTCCAATATCACCTAGTTAAAGTATATACCTTAATCAAGATAAGTAGGATAGCAAATACGATTTGAGGTTTGTATGCCTTGATTAATAGGGACAGTGGAAGGTCTGGGTAGCCTCCACCTCAACGCCCTGAGCCTTGTCTGAGATCCCCAATGCAACCACTGTATCCATTATATAAGCGCTGAACTCCAAGCCAGCCCGTGAATTTGGGAATTGCTAGGAACCCTATACAAGCCTTATGTAAACTAAACCCTCAAGCTCAAATAGAAGTTGTATGTTCTGGCGTGCGCGGATGCACTGCTGCTTCACTGCTGCTTCACTGCTGCTTCACTGCTTTGCCTCCAATATTTGACGGACATAGTAGAAACAGAGAAACGAAAGTGCCAGAATCAAGTGTGTTTCCGCAGCACGTAGAAGCACAAAAACGAATATTGCCGAATCAAACCCCAAGGGTCCAAAGGACCCAGTGATCAGGTACTCGGGTTTAGGATAGTAGTTATGTAGGTTAGGGTTTGGGAAAGTATATGATTATTAGGTACAAGGACCCTTTGGGGAAATGTATTGGGGCGGTGGCTTGAGTGTGTCCGGGCTTATGCTTCCGGACCGGGCTTGTGCTTCTGGACCGGCCGGGTGTTTCCACTCCGGTCGGGGTTCGGGTTTCGGAGTCCTCGATTCGAGTTTCGGGATTCGGAAAGATGCATTTTTGTAGCTAATATTCAAAGCAAAAGCGCAAGTTGGAAAGGCGAAATCCGCCCAAAACCCCGCACGACTCCCGACCTGACTTATCTAGACTTTCTATAAAAAAAACTAAACCCTACGCCCTGATCCCTCATCTGTATATTTATATGTACGCTGACCCCTCTAGAGACCCGAAGCCCTGCACTCAAGCGAAGGCCCTGGAAAGCGTACCGTGCACAGCGCAGTCCTCACTCCCGAAGGGGCGCCTCGGCAACAGTTTTAGGAGGGTTAACGGTTTAGAGGATTTAAGGTTTAGGGTTGTAAGGGTTTAGGGATTGAATGGTTCAGGGTTTTAAGGCCTTAGGAGTTTAGTAACTTAGGGCCTTAAGGTTTTTAGGGGCTTAAGGGTTTAAGGGTTTTTTTAAAGGGTTTAGGGGCTAAGGGTTTGGAATAAGTGTTTGAGCTAGCCCTGAAACTCCGGTTGCTCGATCATGCGGTATACAGTAACCTGCTATTGAGATAACTGGAGCCCTAGGGTATAGGGTTTAGGGTTTTGACTTCAGTGTTCAGTGTTTGATTGATGTTTGAAGCTCGGGGTCGCCCAGTCCAGGGCTAAAGGTTTAATTGGTGTCTATACTTGGAGGGTCGGGGGACTTAGTAAGTAGGTTGTAAGTGGACTTATAAGTCCCCCAAAAGGGAACGTACTTATAAGTCCCTAAAATAACCAGTTACTAAGCCCCTATAGTGCAGAGAACATCTCCAATTGCATTAGCGCTCCTGGGTCAACAGGATAGAGGGTCGGGGAAGGTCGGGCGAGACTGGAGCCCAGCGGCAAGAAGTGCCTATAGGATTTAGAGAATATGAGGTTCAGGGCAGAGCCCAGAGGGTCCAAGTACCCAAGTAGTAGGGTTTCAAGGTCCAAAAACCATTCAGAGTATGGATTTGGGGATTTAGAATTTAGAACCCCACTATTCGGGTACTTGGACCCTCTGGGGAGGGCTTAAGGCTTCAGAGTTTTACGGCAGAGGGCTCAGGGTTTTGGTTTGGGCTTTCCTGGAGCCACGAGACAATGTGAGTTGAGAAGGATCTCCAGGGTTATTGGGCTTTTGGCTGTGCGGCTGTCGCCTTGTATTGCGACATCCTTGGGGGAATGTAAGAGCCCCAAGCAAACCCTAAACCCTACACAATGGTGAACACATCAGTAGGGTTTAAGAAGAATCGGTTGAGTCTTCAGGCTAGATTTGGCAAAAAGGGTCTGACGCCTGGGGCCTAGGGTTTGGAGTTTTGCCTGGAGACTACCCTCCATTCAGATTTCTGATGACTCGGAGGTGTAGTGCATGCCATCTCAGTGCAGGGGTTTGGGGTTTAGGGTTTGGGGTCATCGATGGTATCCATGGTCATGGCAGCATGGATCGTGTCACTCACTCAGGGTTGTTTGGACCCAAGAATATGACCAGGAGCCCCGGTGATGCGTTGGTAGTCATCATGTCTGTCAGCCTTCGGAGCTTGGATATAGTACCGAAAACCGTAGGAAGCGTATTAGAAGGACCCCTAAAATAAGGTACCTCACTTTTCGGAAATTCCCATATCGGTATTCATCAAGACAAGAATTTGACAGATCTCGCTTCACTTTCGCGGGGGGTTGTGCAGAGTAGAATTATGTAGACCGATGGGGTTGTCCTCGGTGCATTGGCATGCCAGGACATGTTGACGTTTGGTGGATCCACTGCACCATTCACTGGAACACCAAGTTCAGTGGATGCTACGTGGCGGTTGTCCTCTATCGGGACTCCCAGCACTGGGAGCACCACCACGACCACAACGACGAGTACCTGGGTCACCAGCACCGGCACCAACACGAGCACTAGCAGTAGCACCAGCATGACCACCAGCATGAGCACAAGTACCAGTGCGATCGCCAGCAGCACCACAAGCACCAGCAGCAGCACCACCAATACGACCCGGACACGCACCACCCGCACCAAGACTCGTACACGCACGCGAACGTCGAGCACCTCAACCACCTTACAGACGACAACTACGAACCTTGGTGTTCTTCTGGTTGACTCTTAGGGCTTTAACTTTTTGGATTTCTATGTGAACCATAACAAGGAGACTCAAAGTTAAACTTTTTGGAGGGTTTCAGAGGTCTAAGCCCTAAACCCCGTCAGCCAAGGAACAGTACTGAAACATATACGACGTCGGGGACTTCAAGGACGCTCATTTCCACGACTGCTCCAATTGTGCAAGCTTCTTGCATCTAAACCCTAAACCCTATAAACCCTGAAACCCAGACCCTAAATATAACCCTAAACTTAACCGCTTACCCTTAAACTTTTTGAGTTCTGATAGTTTAGTAAGTAGAGTTTAACCTTCTGCTTCTGGGGCTTATTGCGGTAGCAAGGCTCTGACCATAACAGCGACTACAACCGCTGACCTTACGACAACTACGAACAGTTCTACGACACAGACGACAACAACCAACACTACGTCGACTTCGTTATCATCAACATCGACCATAACAGCGACTACAACCGCTGACTTTACGACAACTACGAACAGTTCTACGACACAGACGACAACAACCAACACTACGTCGACTTCGTTATCATCAACATCGACGACTACGGCCTCCATCTCACGTACCTTATTGGCAACGTTTCAACTTTTGGGGTCCGTATAAGGTAGTCGATTCTGAAAGTTTCAACTTTCATTTCCTTGGGTTTTGGGCCAGTGAGGTACCACATCGATGACTGGAAGCATGACTTCCTTGACAGCCACATCCACACCTGGAGTGACAAGCACCAGTGGCACAACCTCACGTGCCCTTGGCAAGGGTAAGTAGACCTAGATATTACAGAGCTGCTGACTGGCGTACTTGGAGGATCATGGGACTTAGTAAGTAGGGTTATAAGTACCCTAATTGAGGTTATAAGTAATTATAAGTATAGTTAAATTATAACCCTAGTTACTAAGTCCCATGACCCTTTAAGTAGCTGCAATTGCTTGGGGTCGGCTTCAGGGTTTCATGTTGTCGTGGCTGGGGCTTTGGAAACCTCAATTCTTACCGAAATGACGCCGCGTGATGCATGCCACTGTCGGCACACCAACTCAGTATAGGGTCCACAACGGACGGATATTGCGCACATGCTTCCGCAAGATCGCATACCATCGCGGGAGGTGTTAGAGGGTGAGGATTCCTAGTTTTTGCGCTCCAAACACCGTCTTGGTAGGGACACCCAGAGACTCCAAAACCCCTTAATTAAGGAATATACCTGAAATTAAAGTAGGGATCCTAATATGATTTAAGGTATATTCCTTAATTAAGGGGTTTTGGAGTCTCTGGGCACCATTGCGGCCATGATCCAGAGAGATCGGCATTCCTGACCTGTGACCCCACAACCTAGCTTTTTGAGGAAGTATAGACACATGAGGTTTTTGAAGCTATAATAAGGAACCCGCGCAGCAAGCAGAATTTTTCAGGTACAGGTAGATAAGCCATAAAGACCCGAATCTCGGCGTTGTAACGACGCCTTGCATAAGGAGTACTTGAAGATGAGTCCGGGTTTAGAGCTTCGAGCCTGGGATATAAGGTATGGTACAAAGCTTAGGGCGTAGGCTCCGAGTCTAGGTGTCATGGCTTAAAGTTCAGGAAGGTTTAAGGCTCAGGGTTTCAAATTTGCGGGTTTTCTGCCGGCTACATCCCCATGAGCCTCCGCGCAGAAGCCCCGAAGGTACAAGCTCGAGTTCCCTGAGCACGACACAGACCTGGCGGCCTGCTAGCAATAGGGTTTAGGATTTAAGGTTTCGAAGCAGTCTTTCAAGGATTTGGAAGAGGATCCCTTAAAGGAGCGCTTGTAGGAACCCTTGCAGTATCCCTTAAAGGAGCCCTTACAGGAACCTTCATAGACCCTTCTCGGAACCTTCCCCAAGGGTCCAAAGGACACAATAATCAGGTACTTGGGTTTAGGATAGTAGTTGTGTAGGTTCATATTTGGGAGAGTATACGATTATTGGGTACTTGGACCCTTGGGGCTTCATAGAATGCCTTAAGATTAAGGGTGCGCCTACAGGATGTTTGTTCTTAGGTCCCCAATACTCAACCTTGAAACTTTTTGTGCTCTTATGGTTTAGTAGGAGTCAGAAAGTTTAAGCTTTTTATTTCTGTGGTTTATTGGGGGAGTAAGTGTTAGTAGGGGCCCCCACCCTGTAATAGTGATATAATAGGAACATAATAGGGCCCTAATATAATCCTTATAGTCACTATTGCAGGGTGGGGGCCCCTTCTAAAGTAAGTGTTTGGTTTTGGAGATTTGGGCTGAATGATTTGCCAAGAGCAGCCTCTGGGTTCGGGGTGTCGAATTTAGGGTGACTTTACTTGGAGGATCATGGGACTTAGTAAGTAGGGTTTAGGGTTCCTTTTTGGGGTACTATAGGGTTCTATAATAGGGTTCCTTAAAGGGATCTATAAGGGGGATCATGGGACTTAGTAAGTAGGGTTATAAGTACCCTAATTGGGGTTATAAGTAATTATAAGTATACTTACCCGAATTATAACCCTAGTTACTAAGTCCCATGACCCTTTAAGTAGGGTCTCGGGTTTAGAGTGACTTTAGGGTCTCGGGCTTAGGGTGACTTTAGGGTCTCGGGTTTAGGGTTGCGAGGGTCAGGGGTAAAGAGCTTCGGGTTTCGAATTCTGGTGTAGGGTTCTATTTTAGGGTTCCCTTTAGGGTTTAGGGTTTAGGGTTTAGGGTTTTAGGGTTTAGGGTTTAGGGTTGTAGTATATGATTTTGTACTAAGGTCCCCTTTAAGGGTTTTGGGTCGTCGGAAGACGGACGCGGGTTGAAGGTGTGCTTGTTGCAGCCAGAACAGCTAAGCCCTGTGTAGATAAAGGGTTCCGGGTGTCTCGTGTAAATATATCCCATGCCCCCCAAGTCGTCAAGCTGTCAACACTAGGTCCTTGCTTGGTTATTCAATGTCCTTGTTGCACGACCCGAAACATGGGATATCGGAAAGAAAGCTGCTTCAGAACGTAGCTATCCCTACAATGGGAAGGAGTCGCGGATGGCTCCGACGGACCGGCTTGGGATTGCGAGTTGTGTTCCCGAGGTTATGTTTCGGCTTCTTGTGTTCGCCCGTCGTCTTTGATTAGTTACACGGGCAGATTAGAAAACATCGGCAATGTTCTGCAGCTAGATCCCATGTTGAAGTCTTGGGGCTTATAAAGAGCGCACCGCTTCGTACTAACGCGGACTTAACACGGGGGCCTTAGATATTGGGAAAACTCTCACTTTCACAGCCAGATCCTGCAAGCTTGAAATTGTGCAACCTGTTTAGGTTTCGACTATAGGGCTTGTAGCATATCGTTACAGCCACTAGCGACACAAACCCTCGAGTTGTTTGCTGACAAAACCCTCGATCGTACAATTCGCAGCAACTCCACATCCCTAAACCATTGGCAAGACGGAGGGTGATAGTCAATAGTGCATGTTGTAAAGTGCTTTGCATCTGAGGACGACCAGCAGCACAGAGACTGGCACCACCCGAACGACCACGAGCACCTGGGACGTCGTTTCAGATGTTTTCATAATGGGTTCCGGTTAAGGATTCAGGCCTTGGCAACAGCATTCCGAAAGTGTTCAGTGCGGTGTCGGGATGTGTCGGGGCTTGGGTGCTCGTTCGGGCAGGTGGGGTGCTTCGATCGGGCTCACAGGCTTGTATCGAGCGACGGCGTCGTGGCGATCCTCGTGTTATGAGTCAGGGCTCGGCATAGTACTGGAAAACCGTAGCCTGGGTTTGGAGTATCATACTTGAATACTTTTTGTTGGTGCCTGTTCCTTAAGGGAACCATTATGAAATAAAAGTCTATACTTTTTTCTCCCTGGTTACTTCAAAGTCCAGGTAGGCATACGAAACTGTTTGTCACTGTTGATTACTCACAAACCTGGTGCACCGCCGACGACCCAAACTGGTCTGTTGTGAGTTCGCGTGGATCCAAAGCATATCACGTCACATTGGAGTGCAGGCATCGAACCGGAGATGCTGTCGAGAGTTTATGGTGGCAAATCCTACCTGAGCTGCGGAACCCCCTGCGAAATATCCCAAATCTCCATATCTCAACCACACCGACTCTGGACCGTATTCTATGATTACCTATTCCCCGAAGCCAAAAAGAAGCCCCATTGTAAACCCCTGTTTCGTCACACCTGCAGACGAAAGTGCACCTAGCTGCGCTCATTCTGCGCAGTGTGTATTGTGTGTGTATGTACATACATGCATACGTACATACATGCGCAGATACTTACTTACATACACACACACACACACCTTTATAGGCATACACACATATATGCATACATACATACGTCGTAGATACATACATTCATACTATATGTGAGGTTTTGGGTCGGAGCATTTAGTAGGCAGGGCTCCAATCTGTGAGGCAGTTCTTGGCGAATGGGCGCGGTCTGCCAAAACAACTCAGAATCACCAGCAATGCCTTCACTAATCTGTGAAGGCAGCACGGAGACTACCTCGACATTGAGTTCTTCCATCACCACCTCAACGTCCAGGATCGTTGCTTTGCGAATTCAGTACCCGCAGCATTTAAGAACCCAAACTCTGAAGGTGGGCTTTAATGTAGGAACCTGATTAAGGAACCCCGGCCCTTTAACCCCAATATATTAGGATCCACAAAAAGAACCCTAATAAGGACCCAAGGTTTCTTCATCAGGTTCCTGCATTGGGTAAACCCTAAACCCCCTAAACCCTAAAATCCTAAACACTAAACCTTAAACCCTAGACCTAAGCCCTGATAAGGACCCAAGGTTTCTTAATCAGGTTCCTACATTAGGTAAACCCTAAAACCCCTAAACCCTAAAACCCTAAACACTAAACAAAACCTTAAACAGTAATACCGACGCGCACCGAGAACCTCGTCTGGCTTGTCCGAGTTGCGAGAGCGTAAACCCTAAGCCCTACGAAGGACCCAAGGTTTCTTAATCATCCTACATTAGAAGGTCCTATGGGATGGGGACTGGAGGCTCCTCCACCCGGACTCAGCGCTTAAGGATTATGGGCTGGGCCCTCGTTAGGTTGTTTTTTCGTGCCTTGGTTTAGGGTTTAGGGGTTTAGGGTTTACCGGTTTAGGAGTTTCCGGGTTTAGGGTTTAGGGGTGTTTAGTTTTTAGGAGTTTAGGGTTTACGGGTTTAGGGTGTAGGGGTGTACGTCCTCGGTTTATATACTATTAACCCTATACGGGTTGTTAAAGCTGTATTCAGGTGGGGTTATAAAAAGATCCAGCGCCTCAACTACCATGCGTCCAGTATCCCTGAAAACCCTTCGGCTACAGTTGATCTAGGTAGATAGTTGGGTTTCTATCCCAAACCCTAGACCTTGGCAACCTCCCAGAGACTCCAAAACCCCCAATTAAGGAATATACCTCACATGATAATACGATCCCTAATATGATTTAAAGTATATTCCTTGGCTAAGGGGTCTTGGAGTCTCTGGGCTCATGGATCCCTGAAGCTTACAACCCCATGCATCCCGTATTCAAGCTCATATAAGCTGATGGACATGTAGAATTTACACACGGGCGCCCCAGACGAATACAACCAAGTGCATACCAATGCTAGTGCTACTAATTAGTTACTAATGCTGATGCCAACAAACCATGTTCATGCAACTGCAGAACGAATACTCTGTCTGACTCATGCCAATGCACTATTACCAGCAAGCAGAACAGTAAGAGCAGCAAACTAAGACCACTGCTACACTGGTAGCATCAAAGCTTCCTCATGATGGGTCTCTGTAAGCTCCTTGACAGGACATCTTCCTCGACCAGCTCAACCACAACTACCTCAACTTCAACTACCTCGACTTCTAGGTCGCTAGAAGCCAAGGGTTACAGGATTAGGGTGTGTTCTTGTCAGCTTCTCCATCCTTGAAGCTCAAGAGGTGGAGTGGCTGCGGTGGTTTGCTGACATGCACTCGTCATGTTAGCTTCCGATTCCCAGCTGATGCCGGATTTGAGCCTGGGTTGAAGAAGGGTGCCCTAACACCGAGACCCACAAGAGCACTTCGCCTTCAGTTCGAAGGCGTGAGAGTGGGGTGGTGTGAGGTTCAGAGGACGCGAGGTGGAAGTTTGGGGGATGTGAAGCGAGAGATGCGGGAGGTGAGAGGTTGGAGGCGGGCGTGGAGGAAAGACACGACGCGGGCACGATCAAATCGAGTTCCATCCGATTCGATTTTTGATGTTTGCGTGAGGTTGGCTTGGATGTGTAAGCCCCGGGTCAGCAAAGAACCCTAAGCCCTAAACCCGACACCGTCAGGGCCAGTCCCCATTGCTGGGTGCGACAGCCGCTGGCAACCTGAATTCGATGAACGCTTTTTGTGAGCGTGAGTTTTTGGTCTTCTCGCCATAGTCCAGTCACTACGTACACACTTGGTTGTTTCTGGTTGAGATCCTGAGGTGCCAACGCATGCATCAGACTCAGGCACACCAAAGAAATTACAGGTGCATGCACCACACAGAATTTGCGTACTTGAAGATGCCATCATGTCTACAGTGAGAATCAATACAATAGCTCCCAAACCTGTCCCCGACTGCCCTATGTCCAAAGCTCGTAAGCCCCAAAACTTCACGGGCTAGGAGCATGTTTGCCTTCCGCGGTTATTGCTTGCTACTAACGTCCTTGCTGCTAGTATCCTGATGAAACACAGTAGTTGAACTGCTTGTTGTGATCACTCTCACAAGCTCTGTGTCGGGGAATGATTGTGTCCGGACACTTCCTGCCAGGAGTTCGAGCAGCACAACTGTCACCGTGTCCAGCACCACTACCACCACCAGGTGGGCTTGTCAGGAGCCTTTGTAATCTAGAGGCTTGAGTGCTACTAAACTGGTACCATACTGACGAATTACCACGATTATTCCTTGGAAATCCTCATGCTACATACACTATCACCTGCCCCACAAGTCCGCTCTGATTAACTAAGTGGCTGAACGAGTCCACTTGACCCTTTGTGGGTAGTATTACCCCTTATAGAACTGAGCTCGGCTCAACGCCATCTTCCTAAATCACAAGAAGACCTTAGAGAATGCCGAGTATGGAGATAACTGCATTAGTGTAGTGTGTACGCATTGCACTGTAGTTTATGACTGTACCACAAAGAACACAAAGAAACCAGGACTAAGACTCGGCTCGAGCTGTTCAGGGTCTATCCTTCAGCCCTATAAACCTACATAAACAGGAGCGAGCGAGTTCTCAGAAGCCCCGAAGCGTTACCAGTTTGAGCCTGTGCGCTGGAGGTCCACTTCTTCAACGACCTCCACAACCAGGTGAGGGCTTAGGGCCTAGGGTTGAGAGTCTGAAGATTTGCGAGGGGTTTTACAGGCTCCAAACAAGTTCTCTAGGATTTTTCAATCGTTTCATGTGAGCTTCACAGGGCGTTACAGCATTGCTCATAAAGGGGTTAGTTTTACTTGGCCACTCAGGACCATGCTAGCAGCCGGTTCCCACAGGCCAAGCTATTGCGTACTTGGAAACCGAAGCCTTCTCCAAGTTTGAGAAAGCTGTATACACTGTGAAACCTAGACCCTTCTTGGGTGCTGGGTTCTCAGAGTTTTTGCAGTTGTTGCCCGGGAAACCCCCTAGGCAACCTTTCCAAGGTTTAGAGGCTGCGGGTTTAGGGTTTAGGTGTTGAAACCTAAACAGACAGACTAAAAGGCCTAAAGGCCCAAACCCAAAGCTGAAGTTTGAGCCGTATGTAGCCGCAGGACCACTTCGACAACCAGCTCCACATCGAGGTAGGTCTCTGTCTGTTTGTGTGTGTGTGTGCGCGTGTCCGTCTGTCCGTGTGCGTTAGGAGTTGGGTGCAGGGCTTGGGGTTCGGTGGTCGTCCTAAGCTAGGGTTTCGTATTTGGTTTCGAGAGTTTTTTTTCAGACGTTACGTCTGTGCGAATTTCCTTCGTTGTGTACCCGGCCCAGCTTCTTTATCTTAGGGACCCAAACAGCATATCAGCATAAGCATTTTATTCGGATATCCCCACCTTATTGGGCTTCAGTAAGTATAAGGGGTTTATATGGGATATCCCTAACCTAATTTTTGCTTGTGTACCTTTTGGGGGCCCTATTATCTACTCCTTCAAGCACCGGTACACTCCCGTGAACTAGGATGCCCAGTAGGACCCTTCTTCCCTTTTTGTAGTCCTAGGGTCCTTATAAAGTTACACAATACCAAAAAAGGGAGCACTTCTTATTCCTAGGTTACCCGGAGACTCCAAAACCCCTTAATTAAGGAATATACCTTAAATTATAGTAGGGATCCTAATATGAATCAAGGTATATTCCTTATTTAAGGGGTTTTGGAGTCTCTGGGTACTGGGCATCCTAGTGAAACACCGAAACCGACCAGAGCGGAGCGCTGCTGCAAAGTAAAGCTCCCTCCGGATGCCAGGACGTCTACATCCAGCACCTCGCCATGCAGCTTTTTGCTTGGCGGCTGTTGGATTTCATTTTGGGGCTTGCATAAGTTGTACAAAGTCTCCCCAGGCTCGGAACATAGAAACCCAAACTGCCAAGACGACCACCTAAACCCACAAGCCCTAACACGACAGATCACCCCACCTCTATAAGCCAGCTTATGATATTCCTTTGGGGCTGCCGTTTGGAAACAAACCAGACGTCACACAGACCCTAAAGCTAGATCATCATGTAGAGTTTTTCGCTGAGCTGCGGTACTAAGGCAGACAGATGTTAAAGGTTGCAAGCTTATGCCCTACAGTTCCCCAACCCACAACTGCTTGAAGAACCAAGCGGAAGCGGCTTTGACGGCCGGGAGGGCTTTCGGGTTTGACTTAGAGATCCAAGAAGGACATGAGCATCAACATGTTGTAGGGATGGTATCCCTACCTTATTGCGCTTCATTATAAGGGGGCTTATTATATGGGACATCCCTATTGTGCGCTTTTTTGGGTTTTTTTAACTCCTGAGGATCTTCCAGTCAGTCAAGGCAACATGTAGCGAGCACTATCCCACAATCTCAGAACCAGTACTTGGAAGGTCGGGGGACTTAGTAACTAGTTGTTGTAGGGTACCTATAACTCTACTTAGTACCTACTTACAGTACTAAGCCCCCCGACCCTCCAAGTACTTACAGTACTAAGCCCCCCGACCCTCCAAGTAGCCCCAAGCACTGACTGAAGCCATACACCAGCATCCTCGAGCCTTCATGCTGCAGTTGTCTCGAACATATGACCTTTCAGCACCCTTAAAAGCTGAACATTTAAGTCCTTACTTAAACGAGCATGGGACTCAGCAACCAAGGTCATTAACGTGTAACTACAATCATGACTAGTTATAGCGCTAATCAGTGCACCTGACTACATACATAGATATAGTTAGTTATGACTCTAGGGTAGTTATAGCCTTACCTTGTTCAAACCAGTTCTAACCCTAATCAAGATATTTGCGACATGCCCTGACACCTGCCTGGGTTCAACCATTCTAACCCCAATTCGAGTGTTTGCTACGTTCCCGGATCCGCAAAGTAGGGCTTTCGGGTACAGGTAGCCTCACGAGCTCAAGTTCCACATCCACCACGACGACCTCAACCTCGAGGACACTGAGCTAAGGAGGTGGATAATACGCTTCCTTGTCTGTAACATATTACATACCCAGTTTCCGACAAGATGGGCTACTTTGCCTTAGATGTTGTCTTGCACAGAGGGCCCAGCAAAGTGTTACAGTTGGCAATTTCTTCTACATACAAGTCTAAGAGCACCTCTGGCAGCTCGAGACCCCGCACCTTGCGCCTGATATGCCACTCATTGGCTGCAGACTCAACTTTTCAACTTTTGCTGTTCTTATAAGGTAGTCGACTCTGAAAGTTTCAACTTTTATGTCCTTGGTTTTTTTGGCCAGTGAGGCTAGCTTGTTGCCTCCCCAAAGCCCTAAATCCACAGCCCTCCCACTACCCGTTGAAAGTAACGTAGGGATGGTCCATTGATCTAGGGATTTCGGTAGCTATTTCAATCGTGTTCAGAGACAGGGAGCGACACCCAGAGCCCTTAGACCCAACCGCCGACGAAATCCACAGCCTCGAGCCTTTTTTACATGTATACGTCGGTTTAGATTCGCTTATATATTTATATATCATACATAAATAAGTACATACACATAATCAGCAGTGCCTCTAAAATGAGCCCTAAAAGAAGTCCTGACAAAAGGAACCTTTAAAGGAAGCCTGAAAGGACCCCTAAACCCGAGAAACCCCCAAAACCCAAAATACCGAATTATAGAACCCTGTAGTAGCCTCAAGGGGACCCTTTAAAGGAACCCTGTAGTATCCTTAAGGGGATCCTTTAAAGGAGCCCTATAGTATCCTTAAGGGGATCCTTTAAAGGAACCCTAACAGGACCTCTTCCACCACCTCCTCGACCTCCTCGAGCTTCGCGGCTGAAAGGAGGGCTTCGGCCAAAGTATGAGTCGAAAGCCGTAGGTTCGGTGGGGTTTAGTCTAGCTTAGGGTTTAGGGGTTTAGGGGTTTAGGGTTTCAGAAAGGGCTACCATGGGGCCTGCGTTTGGGACACATCACGTTTCGCGGTTTCGCAGCGATTTGTTTCACATCATCTTGCTATCCTATGCTTGTATAAACAGTTCTGGGTTATGTACTGTATTGTTCGTACTTGTAGACATTTATGTCGCTTATCAATAATGTTGTTGTTTATAAGCAGGGCCTGTGTTTATAAACAGTGTCTGTGTTTATAAGCATGGCTTGTGTTTATAACCAGGGCTGGCGTTTACAAACTAAGATGAAAGAGGGGGGGGGGAGGGGGGGGGGGGGGGGGGGGGGGCTGAGGGTTTGGGGCTGACATGTTGAGACCTGCTACCCCCCCCCCCTCCCCTCTCTCTACTGCGTCCCGTCCCCACCCCCAACCCCAATCCCACTCACCATGCACCACACACCAAAAACCAAGCGCGCGCTGGCACCATTTCCACAAACTTTACCACTTTGTCTATCCTCCTTGGAAGAACACGTCGAGTTGCTGTATTTCTCGCATACAACACAACTTCGTTCGCCGATGTTGTGAAAACACTGGTAATTACAATGTCTTTTTGCGTCTGAAGTGTATGAGTTTATGCTTTGTGAACAAGTTGTATAGCATCACCCTTCCCTGTCTATGAACAAATGGTTTGTTCAGGGCACGTGAGCTGCTTACAGAAGTGCTGTATCTTCTTACGGTTCACAGGGTCTCGGCTGTACTCAGACCGTCGCGATGTACACATCAAGGACAGTCGTAAGGATGGAAGGCGGTTTAGGGTTTAGGGACCAGAAAGAACCCTCAAAGCCTTATTTTGACATTCCATCATAGTTTCACTCTTCAATAGAAGCTAAATTCTGGCAATATCCGACATTGCTACTGCCAGCACTACAGCAGTTTTTTTGGGAAATTGCGTTCTTTACTTCGAGATCAGCTTATGTGACTTATGTGACACTGATGTATTGTATGTATGTCATAATGCAAGGCTTCCGAGCCTTTGCTTCCTGGATATGACGATATACACTGTGTGTGCTGTTGTGTTTCGCTGATTTCCGCTATTCGCTTGCCTTGTGCTGTTGATTTCGACGAACGTGGTGATACATCCATATTTTGAAAAATGTGGATCTCGACAAAAACGCATCTTCGACTGGGAAAACCATGATGCAGAGTGTATGCGAGTTGAGGACCGTGTTAATGTGAAAGTGGTGGGGTGGCAACTGGGAAAACAACTGTTCAAGGGTCATCGCAACCTAAATCACATGAACCGAACAGAAAGCTATGTATTGCTGTGAAACTGGAAGGCCCTAGGCTCCAAATACGTAGCACTTGTAGCACTGCATAAAACATACTATGTATGTACATGCTCCCAGTTTGCAGCAGTAAATTCCTGCGATTGCCAGCATTGTTGTACACTGTTGTGAAGCCCCGCATAGGTAGGTAATACTGCAATCTTCAAACTGGGAAGAAAGTGGAAACTCACGGACATGTGCCAACTCAACACACAAGGAAATCAGAACACGGCGGGCGACACGGCTCCAAAGATTTTCGAGAGTCCAAGTTGTGGAAACAGATGCACGGTGCGTGAAATACTTTGTCTTCTTTCGTTTCGCTCGGACGTGGCCGGGTGTCCACTGCGTACAGGGTGTCATAATTAGCGATTATTATTCGTACCATGACCATGCAAGCACATAAACAGTGCATGTGCTCATGTAAGTTTAGCTGTGGAATATATACATGTGCACGTGTATTCGAGTGTATGCATTTTATATGTTCATAGGCCCTCATGGCCTTTTACAAGCAATTGCAACCACACACACATGTATAAATACATATATATATATATATATATACATACGTACGTACATACATGCACATGCATAGGTGCTTCGTATAGTGCTAAAACGCCAAAGACGCCCAAAAACATAAAATGCAAAACCCAGGCCCCATGACAGCCCGCTCTCCAGAGTTATGGGTTTTAGTTTAGCTTAGGGCTTCGAGTTTAGGGTTTAGGATTTCGCGTTATAGGAAGTTATCAGACTTCCTGTTATTGGGGTCTATAGGGCTTTATATAGGGGTTATAGGGGCGTAGTTTAGATTGGTAGATTTTAGTTTGGGGTTTAGGGTCGAGGGTTTAGGGCCGTATAGAGTTCAGGGCTTCGGGTTGAGGGTTTCGGCTGCAGGGTTTTTCGGTTCAACTTTACGGCAGCAGTCCCTGAATAAGAACACATGAGGATCCAAATATAGCTCCACCAGCTCTCGGTGGCAACTGCTACCATCATTGGGGGGGGTGCTTAACAACCAGGGTTTAGTGCGGCTGCATTTTGCTTCAAGGTCATAAGGGTTTTGGCCCGGAGTTGATGGCTTGAGGAATCTAGGTCGATCAAACCAGGAGCTGCGAAAGTGACCCCCCCTGTTCCAGAGTTGAACACTGGGTACTGCCCCCTCTAAGTAACAGTTGGATAGTAATCATATCTAGATAGATTAGGACCTTAATAGTGGCCCTTTTATAGACCGTTACTGTATGGGGGGCGGGGCAGTGCCCAAGTTGAACAGATGTTCCGTGCTTTGATCTGCTTGCAGAGCTTACTACTCCAAAGCCCTCTAGGCCTCTTCATCAGAACCTGCGAAAGGCTGGATTTCTGTGACAGCCTTGTTTGGTGCTTTACCAATCCTTCAGCCGGTAGCTGTAAGCTCTAAACCCTTCTATCCAAAGCTCGCAGCGACCACAGAGGTCGGATTCTGTGGGCAGGTTGGGATATATAGCCACGAAAAGGTTCAAGAAGGAGTTTCAAGCTTTACTGGGAGACGGGGAAACCCTAATGTAGGAACTTGTTTAAGAAACCTTGGTCCTTTATTAGGGTTCTTTATATGAGCCATAGTATTTGGAGGTTATAGGCCCAGGGTTTCGTAATCAGGTTCCTACATTACACACGAAACCGTAAACCATGTTCGCCTTCGGAACAACGGCAGCTACGCATGAGACTTGGAGAGCCGCAGAAGGGTCATCTCAGTGCTTCCATGGGATACTAGGTTTTTTTGTCTTAGATGATTTTTCACTTGTTGTTTCTGGGTTTCTATCATAGCATAACTCACCCGAAAAGTATATCCTTTATCCCAGAGGGTTGCTGAACAGCCGAGAGAAGGATCCAGAGGATGTTTAAACCATATGCTGGCATGGTGAAAACCCTAATCTAGCCTACACCCTACACTGAACCCTGAACCTTAAAGCGTAAAACCTGCAAGCAAAGCTTGAACCCGCAGAGTATTGTATTGTCAAAAACCAAGAACCCTAAACCCTCGTGGTTACAAGTGCTCGCTGAGGATCTAAAGCGATTCGCCCAAAGCTTGGCACCAACGAGACCCCCGTCCACTGTGAATACTGAGCTCTTATGAAGGAATTTAAAAGAATCAAGGTACAATAATAGGCATCTCTCGAAGCTATAGTATAACGAGTTTTCCTTTTTATGGTAACTTGGTTTTAACTTCCTTAACAAGCACCCAGTTTAGCCTCCATTGTAGCTCCTGTTTGGCTGAACCCATTCTATACTGTACTTTGTGATCCTGTAAGGTATCCAAAATAAACTATATACAATCGAGATTGATATGAGGGTGGTGGTCTGAGAAGGTTAGACCAGGGTTATAGGGCTTTGTAATTAAATTTAGGGTAGACAAGGCTCTTATGGGGGAAGGGGGGATATAATTCAGTAAAGTTGTATAGATGACCATAAGGGGATCTTTTATGCGTATTTTGCAGCAAAGTTGTATACGGACCATACGTAAAGGGTCATGGGACTTTTTAACTAGGGTTATAAGTAGGGTAACTATACATACCATATAATTACATACTTATTACCCCAATAAGTCCCATGATCCTCCAAGCAAGGGCATTTTTGTTGCGGCCCCTCGGCTGTGCCTTCAATAAGGCAGCACGACCAGCTCCACGTCTTCAACCAGCATCTCCAGCACGACGTCCACAAGTAGCACCAGTTCCTCCACGCGTCTCGGCCGCGGATCTCTTGGTGGGTCCAAAAAGAGAAGCCTTGAAGGGTTCCCACTAGGGTTTAGGGGTTTAGGGTTTAGGGGTTTTCTTGCGGCTCCTGGTTAAGATTCTTATTGGCCCTAAACTCCTAACCCCTCTGCGCCATCCAACTGCACAGTACAGTGTAAGATCCCTGTTTTCATTGTCAAGGCTGCGTGCTGCATGCAAACAGCTTCCTGAGAAGTACCCTGTTGCCCTTTTTATTATAGGGCCCCCTTTGTCAACACCGCATAGTAGGAACAAGGGCATATACCCTCATTACCAACTTGCTGGCTGTAAACTTAACTTTTGCAACTTTGGGGATCTTATAAGGCAGTCGATTCTGAGAGTTTCAGCTTTTATTTCCTTGGGTATTGGGCCAGTGAGACGAAGTATAGCATAGTTTGGCCTGCATATCCTACTCTAAGTAATTTTCAAGGCTCCTACATCATTAGATTATGGTGTGGTGAGATTGGGTCTTCTGTGGAGTGCAGCAGGAAACCCTGCTGAAGAGCCATTCAAAAATCTTAGGTTAGGACGACGTCAACTTTGGGATTCGGATAGGTATCTGAGTTGGGTTTAGGGCTTAGGGTGTACTTGAAGTTTTCGCCCCAGATCTTCCAAGCGGCAATCCTCAAGAAAGGATCTTGCACTCTTCCGCGGTGCCAGTAGCAATCCGCTTGCTGAGCCCCTACACCAAAGGTTACCATGCCCTATGATTTCCAGGACCGATCTGAGGTTAACTTAGATCCCCAATACCCAGCCTTTGAACACCTTTTTGGGCTCTTCTAGTTTAGTAGGAGTCGAAAAGTTTGACCTTTCATTTCTGTGGTTTTTTGGGTAAGTAAGTGAATTTTTGGTGCACTGCAGAATCCGTTGGCGTTCATTCTCTCTCTCTCTCGCTCTCTCTCTCTCTCTCTCTCCCTCTCTCTCTCAAGGACTCCTTTCATTTTCCAATGTAATGTCAACATAAAACCCAGCCCCAACTCCCCACAATCTGAACCCTAAAACCCAAGACTTCTCAAGACCCTGCTGAAGCCCCAAACCCTAAGCCACCAAAGCCCCAAACCCCGAAGCTCTCGTCTTCAGACCTCGCCTGGTGTTGCCGAGTGTGTGTGCGTCAAAAACTAGTATAGTTATCATAATTATTATAGTGATTATACTCATGATAATTATTAAAATGATTAAAACTAGCATAGTTATAGTGTACTGTAATGGGACCCAAAACCCTATTCTAATCAGTAAGGCCATATTAAAACCCCCCAAAGGTCGAGCTCCAGCACCACAAGCTCCAGCTCCAGCAGCACATCTCAGACCACTAGCAGTACCTCAAGGCGGGCTGCTTCAGGTTCGCCAGCCTAGTTTGGGGTTTAGGGTTTAGGGGATTAGGGTTTACAGTAGGGGTTTAGGGTTTTGGGGTTTAGGGTTTAGGGAGGTTCGCCAGCCTAGCGGGCTTACATAATAACTTATTGGCTGTAAACTCAACTGTTCAACTTTTGGGGTTCTTCTAAGGTAGTCGATTCTGACAGTTTCAAGTTTCATTTCCTTGAGTTTCGGGCCGGTGAGTCAATTCGGTTTCAAGTTTGGGTCTACCTATATAATGCAGGGCTTAGGGTTTTGGGCCCACCTATAGTATAGTCTCCATCAACCGTTCTGCTTGTTTGGGATAAACCAACTGTGCGTTGTAGGATCCTAACCATAAACTTGGTTAACCAAAGAATGAGCTACAATGGGCATTATAGGTAAGTCTTTACCCTAAACCCTAACCCATAAACCCTAAACCCCCCTAAACCCCTAAACCCTAATCGCTAAACCCTAAACCGTAAATCCCTAAACCCTAAACCTTAAGGCCGCAACACACTAAACTCCCAGAGCCCCAAGAGGCCCTGCTTGTAGCCGAAGAGACCTACCTTTCTAGGGTTCTTTTTTTCGTTCTATAAACAATATGATTCCTGGAAGCGGTAGGTCTTTTCAGCTACAGGTAAACTTTCATGTTTCTGCCTTATGTTTGCAGGCGTCGTGCCTCTTAGGGATTACAGGATTGGTGTCAGGGTTGTTCAGGGCTGCAGGGTTCTTAGCACTGCTAGGGTTTAGGGTCTTTGGGTCCCATTGCCCGCGTCTGTAGTTGAGTTGTTCCGGGCTGAGGGTGCTGCGGGCCAGAAGATTCATGCGCTGAGCCCCTGACTATTAAAAATCTAATGCCAACATGAAGGTTTAGGGTTGTTGGGTCGTAACATGCGCGAATCCGAACAAGGACCATGCCTGCCAGAAGCCAGAAGTTACAGACGTGTTATCATCGGTTTTTGTTGGCTGAAACTCCCAAATGAAATCCTATGCAGTACCAATATTTAACAGTGGCGACCCTTCTCCCACAGAACCCTGACATAATATCTTCGATTCGACAATGAAAGATGAGCCACTGTGCCGACGCAGTTAGCCTGCCGAAACCTCTATAAACCTAGATGCTTCCCTTAAATCTCACGGCCACGCGAAAGCAGACTCTGAAGCACTACCGGCTGTAGAAGCGGGGTTCCCATACCTAAGTAATCAAGTTCCTTGGCGCGCCTGGACGAACTGCATTGATAGTTCCAATTCTTATTCGGTAGGTTATGCTATGGTTCTTTTCAGGATAAGCGCAGTAGATTCTCAGTAAATTTCATAAGGCAGGAACTTTGTGCGTTTTCCTTGCGCCGTTCTAGGTGCTGGGGCTAGGAAACCGCCGACACCTTTCAATTTGAAGCCCGTGCTGTTTCATGGCCAAGATCAAGCACTACGTTAAGCACCGTTAGCTGAATATGGGATGTTCCTCATGACGGACAGTATTTCATTAAAGCCCTGAGTCACCCACAAAGCCTCCAACCCATCAATAGTGTTGAGCCGAAGTACTTCGACCTGGAACCCCCAAACTAAACTAAACCCTACGAATCCCACCGCCAGACCTTAAACGAAACAAAGTGCAACCGCGGCCGAGGACCTCGTCAAGCTCAACGTCCTCGAGCACGACGACCACGACGACTTTGCTTGGAGCTGTGGCTCCTTGGGCTTTTGGTCTCTACTATAGGGGCTTGATGATTACCTTTTCTATTTTGGGCTTCCTTATTATAGTTGTAGCATAATGGGCCGCAAAACCTTATTTTGCTCTTAAAATTAAGGCCCCCATAACACACGGTTTAAGGCTCATGCTCAGTTTAGGGTTCGGGGTTTCCTGTGTGGCTCTTGTTGCTGAAATTCGTGAGAGCCCGGCTGAAAAAGGGTATTAGGGTGTTGGGAAGCAGGAGCGAGTTTTTTTGTATCTTGCATTCAGATTCAGAAGGATGTGAGCGGGCCCCACTTCCAAAAATTTAACCTAGTTCATGAGCGGAGCCTTTAGCTTTCCTCCAAACTGACCCCTGGACTGACTACTTTGAACACTCAATTCCTGATGTTACATGTAGCCAAGATCGTTGAAGCCTGTGTCGACTACTTGGAGGGTCGGGGGACTTAGGGTTATGGTGCTTATAAGTCTCTAAAATATCTAGTTACTCAGGCCCGCGACCCTCCAAGTGGCGCTAAGCAACTAACCCTTACAGTCTCCGCGAGGACTTCTTGTTAGCCTTGGTTTGGAAACATCAATCCGAATCCGAGAGGTGCAGTAACATGTTGTTTCTGTGCAGCTGAGTATGTGACCTTTAGTCTTTTGGGGTTTATGTAACCCTGCCAGAATTGAAAGGGCTAGCCTTTGTTTGGCAAGGGTACTCAGAGCCTCTATACGGTTTAAACTTGGACAGCCTTGCACAGAAGCAACTGAAGTCCCGATAAGCTGTGTTCAGAAGCTCGGGAGCCTGCAATCCCTGTACAACATCCGCCAAGGCATGAGTACCAGGTATCATTGCATGCTGGTGGAGCACACATGCATAGGCATATATGCATCTTCAATAGAGGGAACGTGCACAATTGCATAAGCCCTAATCCCTAATCCTAACCCTAAACTAACCCCTTAAATCCCTCGCCTGGATTGTCCGAGTGTGAGCGGCGAAATCCTTAAATCTTGAACCCGAAACCTCTGAACCCTAAACCCGTAAACCCTACACCGAGGTGTTGCCCGAGGAGCTGGTGGGCACCAAACAGGGAGAGGTGGGCTGTCCCATGCTACACCCTAAACCCACCTAAACCCTAAGCCTTAAACCCTAAGCCCTAAGCCCTAAACCCTAAGCCTTAAACCCTAAGCCCTAAACCCTAAGCCTTAAACCCTAAGCCTTAAACCCTAAACCCCTAACCTGCCCCCCCACCCCCCAGCTACGTGGTTCAGCAGAGCCTGGGTTCTAAAAGGAATTAAGGTGGGTTAGCCAAAAAAAACCTTCCGAACCCCCTGAATTGAAGAGTGAGATAAGGAGTTCAGCATTCACAGTTTGGGGATGTTTCGGGTTTGCAGGGACTGGGCTTAAGAACTCAGGGTTTAGTGTTTAGAGTCTGCAGGGCTTAGACTTTAGCTTTCATGGTTCAGTAGGGTTCAGAGATTGGGGCTTGCATGGTTTAGAATTGGGGTTTCAGGGTTCTGAGTTTATGATTTCGCGTTTTGGGCTTATAGTTTATTACGGTTCTAATGTTTAGAGTTTCGAAGACCCTCAACCGAAAAGCTAAGCGGCTTAGTGTGTACATGCGTGCAGTTTCCAGTTCAGACTTTTTGTCCACGGGTCCCAGAAGATGAGATGTGAATGCCTGATTCCTCATCCGACGAGTGGTTTAGGGTTCAGAGGTTTAGTGCTGTGGACCTTTAGGGATGCAGAGATTTAACAGTTTAGGGGTTTAGGAGGGGTTTTGGGGGTTTAGGGATTTAGGGGTCCTCGCCGGAAAGAGTTCTCATTGATTCCGGGTGCCAACCTCCAGAAGAAGTGACAAGCACTCCACATGGACCTGAACCCTGAACCCTACCTGGAGGTTCACGGGTAGCTATAAGCGAGGTTCTAAGTAGGATAACTATAGTTATAACCCACGATAGTGGACGTATAACCCCTCTCGTAAGTACTCATGAACCTCCAAGTAACCCCCAAGCAAAGCAAGAGTCGACGCACTGTTCAAACGACCAGCTCAAGAACGTGCCTAATTATCAAGGCTTTGCATTATTGACTTGGCAGAAACTAAGCCCTAAACCCTGCAACTGCTTAGGTGTTTCAGAGCTTAGGCTTCAAAGTTTAATGGGTTAGGGGTTTAGGGTGTAGGGTTTTACAAGAGTCCAGGTATCACTGTCGTTTCTCAGAGCTTCCTTCATTGCTGCTTTCACCTGTTGGTGTGTTTTCACGCCGGCTTGCCGGGTTGGACTGGCGAGTTGGAGCGTTTGAGCTAGCTAATTGTTTCGGCGTGCTGCGCATCTAAAGTAATCGCCTCGCGAACACTTCCGGGTATCAGTATTGCTGGAATGGCAAGCTGCTTTACATCATCGTAGTGCCTTCTTTGCATCCGAAGTTGTAGATGGTCAAGGCACTGAAGCAAATGAGTGATTGTAGTTTTGTCAACCTCTCCGAAATCCTTCCGGAATCATGTAATGTGGACTGTAACATAAGACTGCCTTACACGACCATTAAAAGCCCTTAGAGAACCCCAGCGCAAAGGCCTGAAGATTTGAACGGCTTGCAGGGCAGACCATTTGCAGACTACCCTTTCTCGTACCTCCAGCTCTTTATCCACTGTGTGTTTCATCGACCGGTGGTTCTTGTGAAATCTGTCCAAGTATAGTTACAGACGGTTTAGGGTCTAGGGGTACCGTGACTGTGGGGATAGCTGCTAGTCATCGTATTTACTTCGTTTGTATTGTTAGCATTTTATGGGGATGTCCCTACCTTATTGGGCTTCATTATAAGGGATTTCTATTGGATATCCCTATCCGATGTGCTTCTTTGGGGCACTAATTGTAGCCTCCCTTGTACAGGCAGGTCAAGGTTTCTGGCCTGCAGGACCACAGGTTGAGTCTTCTCACTCGAAGGGACTCATGCCTGTGTTGGGGGAAGCCTAGCTTTCGCGGGGTTTAGGGACCTAGGGTTTCTCTATTAGGGGCTTAGGGTTCAGGGCTGGCAGCGAATGGGGTTTGTTTCGTAGTAGTAAACGTGGAATGGAGTCGCACTGTCCGTTTGCCAAGTCTTCGTCGGTCGTGCACAAGGCTCGAGTAAATTCTCTGTCGTTGAGAAAAAGCGCTGTTCTGCATCTTGCTCCCACAAATGACAAACGTGAGTGCAAAGTCCGGACCCTGCACCATCAAAGTTACCGGAGACGCAACACTTTCACGATACACCTAGTTACCGCACCACTTTGTCATAGTTGGGTAGCACTTTACATGTTCATGGGCATTTAAAAACCAAAGAAGGAACATTGAACCCAAGAAGGAATCAACCTGTACATGTTTAATCCTATCCCAACCATGAACTAGACCAAGTCCAAGTACATGATTATTCGGCACATGCGCAGGTTATGAAGGGAGCTGTCTAATGTCCGTTTCCCACGGCCTGACTTGAGAAGTGCCCTAGACTTCCACTCGTTAGGCAACTTGGCTGCAAGCCGTTTAAGGGTTTGCGCGGGATTAACACATTGAAGGTTTATGATTTAATGGGTGTAGGATTTAGGAATGATAGAACAGCCTTGCAGCGTGAGCTTTGAGCAAAGCCTTGGTCAGATGCGGCAATCAGCACCATGTGTTGAAGATCTTCGTTGGGGCCGCAATGTTAAAAGGCGTGAAAGCAAGACGTTCGCTGCTTGCGTCTTCTCAGACGTGCTCTAATCCATTGCTTATACGAGTTTTGGTCTCATGCTATTGGGGCGTTGCTGTGTCATGGAAGCTCCGTACCGGTCAAGAGGAATAGAACATTGTAGCGTTGACATCCTCACACCCTGAGCCGCTGCATGGCGACATTGCAGTGCGAACTCGCAATTTGGTTCTTCCGGCGCACAGACCGCCTACACCTCAAACCTTATGCGCTTCACGCCGTCCGCAGCCGTGGCTGAAGATCCAATTTTTGAAGGTCCTCGCGCAATCCTTGCAGACAGCTCTCGTGGTCGCTACTCAGGCAGGTTTTGGCACATTCACATTCCCAGAACCGAGACTTTTCTAGCAGATTGTCGAACATCACCACGGCATCTTCCGCAGTCACCTTACGCAAACTGGTCTAGGGTTTAACGTTTTAATTTGTGTCAATCCCTTAATGTAATCTGACTGGGTTTCGACACCAGGATGTGAATATGTAGCAATCCGGAGACTTTTTGAGACAGGCCCGTCAGGACATGTGTTTCATTAGCGTGATTCAGACTGGTTGGGTCTGTTCCCACAGTGCATCTCCAGCCATTTTTGTTGGAGTCTGCTGCACGCATTTCTTATTGTTGTATCAACTGCTAATTGGCCGGCCTAACACCCCTCAACTTTGCAGGGACCAAATAAACGACTCTTTCAAGACAACCCGGTAAGTTCCAAGAGTTGCGAAAACTATGTGTACCCCTCGCCCCAGAACCCTGGGTACGTCTATGGTCCAGAGGATAGCCGACGATGTGACTGGAGCGTCCGGCTATTTCGCCACCAAATTCACATAGTAGCTGAGCAGGTGGCCTTAAACTATAAAGGCTATTGGAAATTGAAAGCTCTCTCTCCCTCTCTCTCTGTCTCTATTTTCCTCTCTGTCTCTATTTTCCTACATGCATACATCCACATGTCTAAGTACACACAGACACACACACACACACACACACACACACGCCCAGAGCTTATATGTATGTAAGCAAGTAGGTAGGTAGGTGGGCATGCGCGCATCCGGACCATAAGGAGTTTGCTGCAGCGTCTAGCTGTTTTCCCAATTTCTTGGCACCTGGAACCCGGGGCTGAGTTTAGTATGAGTTTCCCTTCCACTGAACCGCGGGCCCTGTCTTTGCAGAGCGAGCCCGTCTACTCTACCACCACCGAAACGGGCAACGTGACAGCTGTCAAGCTTGAACGGCCCACAGCGGAACAGGGACCGTCGCTTGGCCGCCTCAGGTTCGAGGAATTGGGCCCTAAACCCCAAACCCAAACCCCAGCCTCTTGTTGTGAACTGCACGAGCATCCTAACCGGGATTCGGAAGACATATGGGAGTGAACGCTCCAGAGATCTGTCTACAGCATGGGTCTATCAGCTGATACCCCATTTGAACGAATGCCATGTTGGGCCGGGATGCCTGCTCGATAACTCCATTCGGGATCAAGTTTAGGCTGCCTGGGGAGGGTCAGCATCGGGACGTTCGGAACACACCATCGAAGATCTTGGAGCAGGTTTCTGTCCGTACTCGTAGTGATTTGCTCAGCTGACGCGTTAACAGAAACTGAAAACCAAATGAATCCCCACCGAAAACTATAAAGCCCTTCAAGAACCTTAAAAGAGTACTGACCTCACAAGATTGCAAGGACGGTCTTGGTGCTCAACCGAACCAGAGATACTGCCACTCCGATCACCGCCGCTGCGCGGCAAGCCGAAGAAACTTTTAGAAACAACCAGTGCAGATTTGTTGAGATGTGCTTAATATATGTATATACATATACATATGTATGTATGTATGTATGTACGTATGTACAGATACGTGCTTACGCTTTTCCCATGTTTATTCACTTGTACAGTTCATGTTTGTTGGGGCCTAGCTTTCTTTGTTTGGGGTCAAAGGAAACAACTGTAGGATTTAGTTGTGGGACCCGGAGGTTTTGTTTTGGGGTTTTGGGGCTTTACTTATTGGCTGTAGACTCAACTTTTCAACTTTTGGGGTTCTTATATGGTGGTCGATTTTGAAAGTGTCAACTTTTATTTCCTTGGGTTTTGGGCCGGTGAGTTTAGGGTTTGCGACATATCGCACTCTCTCAGTGGTTCTGCATCAAGGGTGCCTGGTGCTGGAAAGGCCTTCTGTCTTAAGATGCTCCGGCAGCAGCAGCTGCACAAAGAGATCTTAGCATCCCTGTGGTTTCAGCTGTAGGGTCCAAAGGAAGATGCCCATCATCATGACTGACAGGAAGCCCTGCCGTTGAGAAGCGTCGTAATCCGAAATGAGAATAGGAACCCCAGTACTAGTAACAGGAATATTCCTTAAAGAAAACCCGAGCTTGTAATGATAGCTCTGATTCACATTCCGCATCAGAGCCTCGAGACGGTAGCGGAAAGTTGTGATGTCCAGGGGTTTTACAGCTCATGGCTTCAGAGCTTCATGCCATTCTCGAGAGGTTGAAGGCCTCGTTGAAGGATAGAAGGGTTTAGGTTAGAAGCTGCCCCCACCCGGTAATAGTGGTATAACAGGAATATATTAGGGCCCTAATATAATCCTATATAATCCTTATAGTCACTATTACAGGGTGGGGGCAGCTTCTAAGGTTTAGGGTTTAGGGAAAACTTGACGTTGCAACCAGGGGGAGAAGCGCAGGTTTGAGATACGGCTAAGGGCTTAGGTACTGCCCAAAGCCTCGAAGGTGGTGCTGCCTCCCAACCTCATCGGGGACTTGTCTTCCGAGGGCAACGTGATCATGGTGGTGACCGAGGCCGACAGACTAACCGCAAATGCTAAACCTAAGACCACATAATCTTTGTCATCTTAGACAGTGAACGGGGGAATTTTAAGCTTTGGCCTTATATATTATCTGTATCTTAGAAAGTTAGAACTTTTTGGGGCCCGGTTGTTGAAGAAGAGAGTCATAGTTGGGCAACACTTACTAAATAGTTTTCTGGATGCTTAAACCCAGTGGAACACAAAATTAAATTCTCACACTATCCCAACTATGAACTAGCAATAGCCATATACCCTGCTAGATACCACCCTCCACAACCACTGTCCCAAATCCACGTAACTAGGTCACACGCGCGTGAGGCGCCTGGCTACTTTCAAGGGTCTCAATGTGCTTATTTCCTAGGTTTTGGTATGATTTTAGCTAAATTTCAATTTATTAGCAAGAGCTCAAACTATTCATTTTTAGTGATACATCAGCTAATTTACAGCAGGAAATGCTGTTTTCGGGGTGTGGTTTTCTCTTGTCTGAAACACTGTGAACCCTCAAGACTCGCAACCTGCACACAGACCCAGGCCAAAGTCGCACCTCAACCCGAAAGACCACACAACCCTGTACCTAGGGTTGAGGCTGGGGGGACCCCGGAAAAGGTCTGGACCAGAAACCTTCAAAATATATCTCAGGCGCTCCACCGATGCCTTGTCGCTCTGTGAGACCAGCATCCATACTTGAAGATCCTAAGTGCTTAGCTCCGTCGCTCGCAGTGACAACCTCAGAAAGGTTTCAGGGCTATCTTGGGGTGACTTGATAGAGGCTGTGTGTTCTTTCGGAGAAAGCACAAGCTTACGCCTTGCTGAGCTTTCGTAGCGCTTTCAAAAAGTCACATGGGGTTCCTGCATTGGCATTGCAACGCCAGCACCACTGGAAGCACGTTTTCCGGATTTCAAGGTCTCCCATGGAAGCCGAAGATGAGCACGGGTCTCGCCGAAGATGGTGACAAGGATTGCTCTCTCAGCCGAGACGTCCGGGTGCGCAGCACAGAAAACCTGCAGCTACCGACTTGGCCAAAGACATAAACATGTAGCAAAGCAATACAGACGCTATCCGAGCGGCGTGAAAGCGAGACTCCAGATCAGCGATGCTAAAGCGAAGGAAAGAGCGCAGCTCGGCAGGAAGGTCCTGCTGCGCCGTACGCAAGAGGATGACTGCGGAGAGGGCGGCCACCAGCCAGCAAAAGTACATGGCTGCAGTGGCACCGGCTACATGAGTGATCGGAGCCGCAAGGAGCAGCTGACATACAAGAAACTTGAAATCCTGGTCTGTAGATGCACAGCTCGTTCTTACCCCCCCCCCTTCCCCCTCCCCCCCATCCCCCCTAGTGCAATGCACGATTTATCCAGGCGCCTGGTGCGCGTGTAACCAACTAATTCTTCGGCCGTTTGTACCCCTAGGGTAAACCCTTACCCTCATCTCTGGTGGGTCTTTACTTGGATTGGAAGGCGACTACTTTGGATGGGCCTTTTAGGGTTTAGGGCTTAGGGTTTAGGGTTAGGGTTTAGGTTTTAGGGCTTAGAGTTTAGGGTTAGGGCTTAGGGTTTAGGGCTTAGGGTTTAGGGTTTAGGGCTTAGAGTTTAGGGTTGGGTTGCACGCCGAAGCCTGAAGAAATTGCAAGCCTTCGTCCTTCGGGTGACCTAGGTCTGTAGCATGGATGCAGCGCGCAGTACATCGTGTAATGCATGCCGCATAACATCGGTAATCATTCAGGCTTCGACATACTACGAGCTCATAATCAAGATTTCGTAATAACGAGGACAAGTGTCACTAGTATCCCCGTATATAGCTTTACATATAGTGTGTGTCCGGATAACTTCCAGCACTGTTCTTCTATAGTCCTTAGATAATTAGGCGATGTAGTACATCCCAGCACCCCATTCAACCTATCCAGGCCCTTCATAAGTCGGGCTATTAAGAGCGACTAAGTTGAGGAGCTACTGGGGGTGTTCTTGCCGCAAGTAAGCGCATCACCCACCGCCAATGATGGGCTTTCTCACCCCTATGCACATACACCCCAAACCCTAAAACCCTGAACCCTAAAACCCAAGACGGAATAGGGTGACTGCCACAAGCCAAAGCCGCGTGACGGCATTTTTGAAGAGCTTTAGACGGGTTTAGGTTTTAGGGTTTAGGGGTTTGGCGGGCATTTCTTTTAAGAGAATCAGCCCGGAACCCACCAGGGGCGCAGATTCGAGCTGGGGAGGGGTGGTCAATGCCGCTTCTGAGGATTCCGAAGTTCGTGTGGGATTTCTTAATCCAGTTGGCAGGGTGCATCTCATATCTACCCTCCTTCAAACTGACAGGGAAGCCCAAATAGCCTGAAATAGCTCTCCTTTGCATGGGCAGTGTTTTAATTCGGGACCGTTATCATGTTCCATCTTAGCTTAGCCCTGCACCCGACATAAGCCCAAACCCTGCATCGACCCTAAGCCGTTAGGTCCAGGCTGATAGTTAGTAAGGAGGTTTTACTGGTGGTTATCGGCATCCCATGTCGGGGTGTCTTGTTCGTAGCCCAAGTTAGTTCCCCAGGGCCCTGAGCCTTGTTTGATGTTTGGTGGGGGAGGTACTGTCTGCCCAAAGGGCAGTTACGGGCATATGTGGCACAGAAGCACCTTAGCGCTCCATGTAACCAAAAATTTGCATAGACTTAAGCCTAGTTCATATATAGGTACTTTGAGTCCTAAGTATACACTATAAAGGCACATGGAGCCATAGATGCAGTTTGAAGGTCACAGACGAAGTGGCGCGCGAACTGCCGCCGGAAACGGCGGGCGGCGACACGGCCCAGAACTCAGTGGGTTGGAAACCCTAAGTCAAGGGTTTAGGGTTTAGGGAGGACCCTAACTCCTAAACCCTGCCCCAAACCCTTAAAATAGAACCCTGTAGGAGGAATCAAACCCTTAAACTTAAACCCTAAACCCCTAAACCCCTGGGTGCCAAACCGTAAAGCCCTTAATTAAACCCCAAAACTCAATGTAACCTTGAACTCAATACTCGTATTGGCTGTAGGCTCAACTTTTCAACTTTTGGGGGGTTCTTATAAGGTTTTCGATTCTGAAAGTTTCAACTTCTTATTCCTTGTTTCTGGCCAGTGAGTATGTGAAAATAAACTGCAGGTATGTGCGATCCGGGTAGCACAGGTTTCTGACCGCCCACATCACCTCGAAGCCAAAGTCCTACGAACAGCAGACCTGAACCCTCAAGCCGGTTTAGGATTTAGGGGTTTAGGGTTTAGGGGTTTAGGCTTGTGGGAAGATTTCACCCGAAATCCGTAAATGCTTGAAGCCCGAAAGTTTCAAACCTAAACCGTAGCTCCGGAACCTTCCACATGCACTGGCTCTTACTAACCTAGGCCCCCACGTAAAGGCTAGGGCCAGGGGGGCTCGGGTACCTAACCTGCTTACTTGATCCACTGATCCTTCAAAAAAAGGTCATGGTCCCACCGCAGACCTCAGCCCTAAAACAACCTAGAACCCTAAACCCTAAACCCTAAACCTTCAGACTCTGAACACCAAGGTCATGATCAACTCGCCAATCGTAGAGCTGTCCTTTGCTCGGGAGGCCTCAAGCAGTTGAGGGTATGGGGCTTCAGGGTGAACGCTTTAGCTTTCAGGGTTTTGCTTTTAGGGTTTCGGAGTTGTGGAGGCCCGTTTCCACAGGCCTGTAAAGATCTCTGATCCCTTTGCGTTTTGCTGCGAGTTCATAATTTTTAAGTATCAGAAGAGTTCCGTGGCTAATCTCGAATGAGCATATTGCTCGTCACTACTCAATGATGTCAACCAGTATATATACACACATGTACAAAAATTATTACATACACGATCGCTAGTGCCGCTAGTTGCAGGTTGGAAGGACAGTAAAGGTCGGCTGGTTATCTTGACTTGCGGCTTTAGGGTATTTTTTAGGGTATGCCCATATGGTGTACTATGTATTCTCAGATTATGAGGGCATTTGGTGTGAGGGGCTTCTCCTGAGTTTGGGAGGCTATTTGAAAGCAATCCATGTACCCAAATGTTAGAAACTTAGGCTTTAAGGTAGCCTCTATGCAGGTACTTTGGGGCCAAAGTATATACTATCTGGAAACATGCAGCCTTGCAGTTGTAGGTGATTGCCATGACGCGTTGCCCCTCTTCTTTTGATTGGGGCGCTTGGGACTCGAGATCCCTTTCTGACGGTTGACATGCTGATGCCGAAGTTTTCAAAAGAACTATAGTTTCGACTGTCTTCAAGTATAGTCGATGTACTGCCTATCAGTAACAACAGTATCAAAAACATGAGGCCAATAGCAACAGCAGTAAAATCGTAATAGCAAGGACAAGGACGAAAGTATTGACACGAAGAACAGCATTAGTGACAGCAACAACAACAACGACGACAAAGACAACGACAACAGCAGCAGCAGCAGCAGCAGCAGCAGTAGCAGTAGTAGTAGTAGTAGTAGTAGTAGTAGTAGTAGTAGTAGTAGTAGTAGTAGTAGTAGTAGTAGTAGTAGTAGTAGTAGTAGTAGTAGTAGTAGTAGTAGTATTAACATCAGAATTAATTATGGATATTACCGGAACTGATAGCAGCAAAAGCATTGTCATGTTTATGACCCTGAACTGTCCGTAAGAGGTTTGAGTAGTTGGTAACAGGAACCCTCCATAGTTCCTATGTTTATACTACAGCATACCGCAGAGCCAACTCTATCCATTCAGCCCCCACATTAAGGCAAGTAGGGAAGTTGTAATTTGTCGCTCTAGTTCCAGCTAGCCGTAGGCCTTACGGGTTTACGTAAACAGTAAAGCGCAGTCATAGAAGCGGCAGATATATGCAATGAAGAACAGTAGCAAGCGACAGGCCACGAACAAAGAAGGATGGGAGCGGAATTCCACAAGCGAAGACGTATGGCTGTATAGACCAGTGTGAGTATATAGTAACTAGTAATCACACGAAAAAACCGTAATCATAATGACCTGAAAAACTTCATGTTCGCCAAAGCACCAGCACATTATAATCCGAATCCCTAAAACCAAAGCCCTAAACCGTAAACAACACATCGCATTAAAATGCCAACCAAGTACCTTTCGACTAACGCATCACAGAACCCAAACGGCCCTAGCGAACCTCTGTGCACCCATATTCCGAATCTCCCTGCTAAACCTGCTATACACGATATGACCAGCATGTCAGGTCAGCGGTGAGGTCGCCCTCCTTGAGGTTTCTCAAGCCTTTGACACCATCAACTTCACGGCGCCCTTGGGTCTACGGTTTACGGCTTTAGGGATTTAGGTTTAGGGGTTTGCAGTAAGGTTTAGGCTGTGTTCCTATTGTGTTATAGTCGCCTTAATGTGCACCAAGACCAGTTTCCGATTCTTCAAGCCACAGTGTGTCAATCAACTAGTCTGCAGTTGAGGGCTTTTGGGTTTGCGGTTCTGGGCTTAATTAAGTTGTATAGGGTGTGGTATCTTGACACTTCAGGGGAGGAGGATTGAACATTGGGTCTACCTATAGACGCCATTGTAGCTCTGTATTGGTTTAAGCATTATTAATATTTTCAGGATCCTACCCCTAAAACAAGGAACGGCAATGGAGTTTACAGGTAGGGTGTGCAGCGCCACTGAAAGTGCGGATAATCGCCAAATCAGGACATCACAGTAGTCAGAGCCAGTACAGCAGTGACCCTGTTCAGAAAGCTGCTTGTATGAAGGATGCTGGCAGAGACTGTTGAATTCATGAATGGTTTAACTTGCTGAGCCATTCCTGACCCCTAAACTATGCCCAGAATACTGACCCTAAACTAACCCCGAAGTCCTGAACCAACAACTAAACCACAAACCCCGAAGTAAATCCAACACCCTCAGCCCAATAAAACCTTAAGCCTAAACCTGAAACCGGAACCCGGAACTAAACCCGAGACAGAACCAACTAAACCCTAAAACCGAACCCTAAATCAGAAACTAAATCCCAAACCTGACTCAACTAAACCTTAGACCCTGAACCGATGAGTGCTCAAACCTAAACCACTTGAACCCCAAAGCCTGAACCCTGCCCCCTAAAACCCCTAAGCCTTATACGCACCCTAAACTCTAAAACCCTGAACCCCTAGTCAGTGCTCACACCTACACCTAAACCACTTGAACCCCAAAGCCTGAACCCTGCGCCCTAAAACCCCTGGGATTCTGTCTGCGGGCGGAAAAAGGCGTTTACGAAAAAAAAAACTAAGCCCTAAACTCGAGACTACAGACATCGCCTGGTATTGCCGAGCGTGAGCGTTAAAAAACCTCTAAACCCTAAACCCTAAACCCCTAAAACCTCTAAACCCCAGCAAGGAACTCCAAAGATCCCCCGCTTTTGCAGGTCGTGGGCCGTCCGCCTATGCCTGGCGAGAGGTGCTACGGGGCCGTTGTCCAGGGTTGAGGCTTCAGGGTAGGATGAAGGTAGGTGGGTAATCCCAAAGTAAGAGTCCTGACATATATATATATATATATATATATATAGGATCTTTAATCCTACCTACTTCCATCCCACCTTTCGAAATGTGGGATTGTTGGCAAATGGCGGCATGATTTCAGGGTTTAGCCTTTCAGAATTTTTACGGTGTAGGGTTTGGGTGTTTAGGGCTTTAGGTTTTGTGTAGGGTGCTGGGCATGTGAAAAAGATTCAGGATTTGATGACGTGGCTCCCCACCATTTTGCAGTTGAGAGAGCACAGCGGTGTCGGATTCCAGAAGAGGGTGTCCAGAAACTCGAAAACCGGAAAGGATACCCTTCATTACACCCCTTCCTGCTCTGCTTCCTGCCTCGAGCTCAAGACCGGCAGCACTAAAGCCCCTAGGCCGCCCCATTGCGGGGCAAGTCAGGTGCGCATTCTTCAACTCTACCACTGGCTCTTGGTCAGCAATGGGCACTGAGCACCTTGGATGCCAGAGACGCTGTGGAATTAGCCGAGCTTGTTTCAGGCTTTAGGGTCGAGATGTGTGTTTCCGTAGCCATTTTGGCTCAAGCCATTTTGGCTCAAGGCGTCGCGGCTCGAGCGGAAGTAGCGGGGCGTCTCCTTTGGAGTTGCCTTTGTATTTTCCGTATTCCCGACCCCAGCGCTCTGCGCGATAGCGGCACTCCCTGGGCGGCGGCTGCTCACTGGTTTTTCTGGTATTTGGGTTTTCCTCACGCTGCCATTCGATTGGCCGTCAGGTACTACCCCCACCTGGACTTTTCCAGGTGCATGACCGCCCCTAGGCGGTACGGCCCTCTGTTTCCGCTAGCTGCCCTTGGCATCTGGTTGCTTATTTGGGGCCAGCACGGGCAAGAGAGTGTCTCGTGCATCAAGCCCTCCGTGGCACAGACGTGCCCGAAGGCAGCGAGCCTTCGCGAGGAAGAGGTTGCGCAGCGGCTTTTTCCAGGCCAGGGACATACGACTTCTTCTTCACCACCACGGAAGTATGCCTCCCAAAAATCCTGGTCAATCTGCTGCCTCACAACAAGCTGGAGCCAAAGGCAAGGGCAAGGGAGATGCCCAGCAGGTTTCCAGAGTGGAATTCGGACTTCCCCAAGGTGTTGTCTCGGCTCTGCAATCTATTCAGAACAGGTCTACGCAGGATCTGTGGGGTCCTGCAGCGGTGCTGGAGTCTCAAGCCACAGCGGAACAGCGATTCCAGCGCCGTTCCAACGCTGCCAATCGTCTATCCAAGCGCCTATCCGGCAACATGCGTGCGAAAGAGGAGCTGGCGACAGCGCTACAGCAGTGGTTTATGCTTGTGAGCCAACGCCTGGTCGGGCTTATTACCCAAGTCAGGGCGCTGGGCAGCAAGTTGGACGAGGACACCACTGTGGCGGCCGCCGAGATGAGGGATATTTTGGCAGCACAGCCCTCGGAGCTCACTACGGCTCAGGTTGTCAAGGCGGAGGAGACCATGGGCCCTATTTGGTCCCCTTCGCAGGAACACGTGGTGATGCAGTTGGCTGCAGGCCTCAAGGCTTTTGGAACAGTGCTTCCTGCACCCCTACCTACAGAGCCTGGACCGCACGCCCTCTTCGCCATGGAGCCTCCGCAGCTACCCTCCGGCCCTGTCCTGGCGCAGGACGGTGCTTCCGATGTCAGTTTTGGTCAAACTGGACTTCGCGACCTGCCTGGGATGACCCCGACCTCCACTCCTCTTGCAAACAGAGGTGCAGTGGTGGATGTCGAGCTACCCCAGGCAGCCCCAGTCCTTGGGCAGCCCGACTCCTTGAGCTTCGGGTCTATCGCTCCGACCGTGGTCTCTGGGCGATGGCGGAAGCGCAGTGCAGGCCATTCCGACCGGCCCTCGAAGAGCCCCAGGCGAGATCATGTGGAACCACCTTGGACAAGAGAAGCAACGGGCCGTACGCCCGACTCTGTGCAACGTGCTCCGCAAGTGGCTGTGGTCGACGACGGCCCCGAGCTCATCCCGGACCCTACGTCCAACAGTACGAGTCCTTGGACGGTGGCGTGGATTGCTATGCTCCATTTCTGCACCGAGAACGGAGCGGACCTGATCGGCGAACTGAGGCAATGCTCACGTCAAGATGCAGCCCTGCCACTCACTGTGGATGCACAGGCCCAGGAGGTTGTAGCGCCTGCTGCCGAAGCTGTCTGGGAAGGCATGTTGCGTGCGGTGGCCAAACCGGAGCTGGCCCATCTCCAGTCCCTTCACCGAGATCTGCGAGAGGTCATGCAGCAGCTTTGGTTGTGTTCCAATGCCCTTCCGTCTGCCAGGCAGGGACTTCTTGTGGCTGCTCACTTGACTGCGGGAAGGATTGTGGACCCGTTCTCGTATGCGCCCTCAACAGCACAGGAGTGGCTCTTCCCGGACCTACTTCTCGAGGCCGACGCCCCGATCCGTGGCTTTATTGCAAAAGATGCGTCACAGGACTCAAGAGTGCAAGTGCTGCTCCGGATGCCATCACCCTTCCTCCGAGTGACCGACTCTGCGGACCCCACGGAGCTAGAGTGAATCGGCGAGAACACCAGCCGCTCTGCAACGGCTCCGACCTTGTAGCAGTTTGCCCTGCTGATCGTGCTCAAATAGGGTGTGTTTGTTCACACCTTATTTTGATCACGGTCAGCCTTTTCCTCGGGCGCTGCATCATAGTGTGTATAGCCATACGTAGAGTCTCGGCTGTCACTGAAAGGTTCTTTTCGGCCTACGGTCCCAGATTGTCCTGGCAACGCTCTTGGCAGCTTGGTTGCACCCTTTCTGCCTCCGCGTGGTGGGCTGCGGCAACTGTGTGCCCGCCCTTTGCCATGATGATGTGCGCAGGCATCAGTGAACTTCTTGCCTTCCTCCCAGGTTGGGGTATGGACTTTTACCCCCATGCCCTCCTTGCCCTGTCTTGGGCTTCGCATCACTGGCGCTGTGCTTGCGGGCTCGTCCTGCCTTTGGCATGGGTCACTCGCCTCAGGGCTGCTGTGTTTGGAGAACCTGGCGTGGCGTGCGGTGCTGGGGTCCTTTCTGCGGGTCTTAAGGTTCGGGGAGCTAGGCACCGTATTCCAGTGCGTCCGTGTCGGAACAGTGGGCCCTGCCTGAGGATGACGCTTCTGCTGCTCTACCTTTCAGTTGCCGATGGCGTCACTCTCCACCTCGGCGCGGCGGTTGTCTCCTCCTGGGGGCTGAGATCCTCCACTGCTGTGCAATTACATGCCCACGGCTTTCATGAGGGCCTCCCTGTCCTCAGCACGGGGCCGGTTCTGCCCACTCCTACTGCTGAGGAAATGTGTGAGGTTTACCCTGTCGGCCGCACGGGTAACTTGCTTCTCCCACGCACCGACCGCAGTCGTCGGCACCTTGCTGCCTTTGTGGGTACACCGCCTGGAGCCCCCATTCTCGAACCTTGCCCTGTCCCTTTCCTGGTTGACGAATGGTTGCATGGGCCGCTCTTGCATGCCCGGCTTGCTGCCACCTTGGGATTCCCTGCTGGTGTCTTCTCTGTCTCAGCCATCCGCGGGGTCCTTCCCGGCCTGCCAAGTGAGCAGCTTCTTCTCACTCCGGCTGCCTGTTCATGGCGTCAAGTCTGGCTGCCCGTTGACCTCCGTCCGCTAGGAGGCCGCATATGCATGCTTGTGTGCCCCCGTGACTCTACTTGCAGAGCCATTGCGGTCCTTGCTCTCGCGGCTCAGACGATGCAGACTGAAGTTGACCTTCTGCTTGCTAAGTGCCCCTGGGGTTGGTTGACGCTGATGTCCCAACCCCTCCTTCTGCAGGACGTCGACACTCTGCAATTTCATATTGGCCCAGCTGCTGATGCGCTGCAAGGACCTGTCGGTGCTTCTTTGGACCCCCCCCTTTCGTTGTTCTCGGCCATGCAGGTGAGCCTCCCGACGGCACCCTCAGCCCACGAAGCTTTCCCGGGCCACTCGCATAACCAAGCTGTCCTTATCACCCCTAATGGACTGGTGTATGTCGAAGCCCCGGTATTTGCTGACGCCGCTACGTTTCGACGTATTGTGTCTACTAGGGCATCTCCCAGTGCTTGTGGGGGGGTCCTCCGCATCTGGCATCCGCTCCCTTCCCTTCCCCTTGTGCAGTTCATGGAGGTACACTGTACTAGGGATGAGGTACCTTGCATTCTCGATTTCCGTCCAGTTGGCTGGAGGCTGACTACTGTTTGCGTTCCTCCTCCTGTTACTGCTCTTGCGGCTGTTACGGTTGCTTCTCGACGGGACCGCAGCAGCCTCCCCCACGAGTGGGTCGAACAGTGCGCCCGTGGCGGGTTCGGCCTCCTCCATCGAGAGCTTGCGGTATTACCAGATCAGGTCCTCACCAGCAGTGTCCCGATTGTTGTCATGTTCTTCCCGCATGTCTTTCGTCAAGACTCTTCCTCCTCTTCGGAGGACCAGGTAGGCGGCTGGGACACCCCGGGTACCTCTGACACCATTTCTGCGCTGCAGCACACCCTGTTGCCCTCCCCTGCTAGGGCTTCCTCGTCTACTGCCATGCCCGCTTGCACTGGAGTCACCCGTCTGAGTTTCTCAACACCACTTCCCCCAGTGCCTTGGTGCCGGCCGCCGAGCCTGGCTCGGCTTCCTCATCGGTCGTTAGCCAATTCAGCGGCACTCGGGGTATTCTTTTGGCTGCTTGTGTGTTGCGCGGGCCGCACCATGGCGTCGGGAGCCTCCTTGCTTGGGGTGCGTGCCTCGTCATCTCCTGTGGGATGCCTGGTCATGCCGTTCAGATGCACAGTGCGCCTGCCACTCCTAGGGATGTTGTGGTTTCAGCTAATAGGGCTCCTGACCGTCAGGTTGCGGCACCAGCAGGTGCCCACACGCATTTACAGGCCAGGTGGCTTCAGGTTGGCGACTTTGGTGATGGACCGCTTTGGTCGGTTCTTCCCTCCGCCAGTGAGGTGTTTCTCATTACTTGCCGCCTTTGGTGGCCCGGATCTTCGGTCCGCCTTGAGTTTACCAACACTGAGAGTGCTCGCGATGCTGCCGCCGAGCTTTACCGTCAGGCCATCCGAATAGGTCGCCCTCAGATTGTTGCTGCTTCTGCAGGCCCTACTCTTGAGGCGGTTAACCTTGTGGCTCTCCCGTCCCGCCCTGAGACCCTAACTGTTCTTCTGGACCTAGGTAGAGAGGTTGTCTGTGTTGAGCTGCCCAAGGAATACAGTGCTGATCATGTTCTTGAGGCTGCGCAGTTCGCGGCTGCTTCGGCTGACGTCCAGATCCTTCGGGGCACGGCACATCGGCTTCGCCAAGGCGACGTGGTACGAGTGCGTGTCAACACTGAGGCGCGCACCCTCGATGTCTCAGCCTTTGTTATTCCACACAATGTTGGCACTGCATCGCGCTGGCTTCAGGAAGGCCGAATCGTGTCGCTGCTTCATCCTGTGGCTGGAGTGTTATCTTTCGAGGTCCCGCGTGCTTGCGACCTTGATACTTCTGTGCTGGGTGCGTTGTTGCGCAGCGTTACCCCAGGCCAGCATGTCTTCGTTGCGCTACCCGGAGCTGACCTTCTCCCTCATGCCGCCTTCGTCGCTGCCTTCCCTGGCCAGGACTGTGTCACATATCGGGTGACTGATGCGTCTGACCCCTCTGCTGTGGGTCTGCACTTGGCCTTTTCCGGCGTCTTTGAATCTTTCCCGGCCTTTTTGGAAAGTCTTCTTCGCAGCAACCGCCCCGCCGCTGCTCTGCTTCGAAGGTTGCAGCCCTTCGGCCTCTCTGTTCTAACCTGGGAATGCACTTCCTTTCCTGGTCGAGCTGACTGTCGCTACTGGCATGTCCATGTGCAGGCTGACTTTGCACGGGCCCGGGAGCACCTTTTGAGCCTCAGCTGGGAGCCGAGACTTGTTCGCACGCCTCCGCCCCTCCCTCCCCCTAGGGCTCGGGTTTTCCATAGTATAGGTTCCCAAACTAACGCCCCCTTCATTTCTGCCAGCACGCCGGCTGCTGTACTCCAGGCACCCCCGTCTGTTTGCGGTGCCGGTGTCACACCTGACTCTGCGTCCGAACTCGTTGACCTCTGGTGCGATGCATGGCACGTCAAGTGCCTGGTTGCATGTCTGCCCGGATTCACCGTGTGGGCCCTTCGAGAGGGGAGCCGACTCTACGGTATGTGCACCCCTGTCCCCTCCTGGGAAGCTGTTGCACAGGCCCTTTCCCTGTCCCTCTGGGAGCTACCACAAACGTTTCTGTCCAGCGACAGCCGTGTTTGGCCATTTCCCCGTGACATCACAGGCGTTGCGATGCAGTGTGTCAGTGTTGGGTACGACTCTCCTGAAGGAGTCTCCCAACTAGTGCGTAATTGCGAGGCCGAGACGCCTAGCCCGCCACCGCCCCCGGGCCCTTTGGCCTCTGCTGCTCTTGGCTTGCCTTGCTTGCGGCGGTACTCGCTTTTGTGTGCTCTCAGCCTCCTTCTCCCTGTGGTGTCAGTCCGCGTGATGGTTGAGCCTGCTCCCTTGTTCTCTCGCCTCGCGGAATCCGAGACACTGCAAACTCGTCGCGACTTTTCACGGCCCTGCACCATGTCTTGGACTCACGAGCTTGCCCGGCAGACGCACGGGTTCGCCCTTTCAGCACCTCAACTTGGCGCGTATGTTACTGGCGCTTCACCTCACCCAGAAGTGCAGATGCACCTTTGGCTTCCCGGGCAAGGCCCCGTCCACTTGAGGGTTGGTGCACGCCACCTCGATCAGCATCTTAGTGCTTACCTTGGCGCCTTCTTGCCAGACTGCGAGTACGGACTGCACGTCGCTTTCGATTCCAGCCCCCAAGTGCTTGATCTCATCGTTTCCCCGCCTTCACCATATGGCTGGTGGATACTGCGTGACTCAATCGGTTGCGAGCTTCTCCGACCGGTGGTCCAGCACTACACTTCCCATTGATGCTCATTCTTCTTCTGCGCTGTGGAGCCGGATGGGGCTGTCCATAACGTTGAGCCCTCTGCCGAAGTCCGCCATATGTCTCCCTGCCCGCAAGGGGCTCGGGCACTTATTACTAGCGTTCTTCCGGGATTAGAGGGTAAACTGGTTGATGGAGTTCTTAAGATTGTCGCTGCCCGGGCTCGGCTCCCCTCGCTTCTCGGCAGTCTCGCGTTGCTCCTGCTTTGCCGCCACGTGGCCTCTATGCAACCTCCCCAACTCCTTGCTCTGGCCCCAGTCGCTGAGGCTTCGCCGCCTCCTCCGACAACCATTCGCATCTGGACTCTCAACATTAATGCACCCGTTGACCTACCATGGCGTCCTCAGGGTTACCCGACCCGTTGGTTGAGAGAGCTGATGTGCCGTCTTCACCATATTGACGATCCCGGTGAGTTCCGGCCCACACATTCCACTACGGACAGCTCCGTCCAGCATGTCCTTTTCGTGCCGGTCGTTCCTGCTACGCGACCCACGGTCCGGTTTTGGCTGCTCCACTGGGGGGACGCTGCGGCTGTTACTTTCGGGCATTCGCCCTTTAGTTGGGATGTCGTCTCTGCCCATCTCAGAGCTCTCTTCCCGGGGGGCCATTTACCAGAGCGGAGCCCCGCTCTCTCCTACGCCGGTCAGCTGTACCCGCCAGGAGTTGCCTTGCCTGATTTTCCATCCGGAGCTGTCATTCAGATTTTGATTGGTGCTCTTGCAAGGATCCCGGGCGATGATGACCCTTGGAACCCGGATCCCCTGGTGGTTGAGGGACCTTACTTCCGGCATGTTCCGAGTAGGGGTCCAGCGCTAGAACCTGCCATCCTCCTCGATGGCCACGGGAACCGACGTGCCGCCGGCGCATCGCATGTGCCTTTGATTGACCAGGAAGTCCAAACGGACCTCTCAGGCAATGGCACCGGCCTTGATCATGCTACGGTTTCCCGAGTTCACATGCTGTCTCAGGAGCTTTCTTTTCACACTTCACGACTCTGGGCCGGACTTGCTGAACCGGATGCAGAACCGGCTGGGGAATCGCAACCTGTTCTGCGTCTCGCCTCGCAAAGTACTTGTGCTGCGGTCAGCCCCTCCACTGTTGATCTGCTCGATATTGCGAGTGTGTCGAACTGCCGGCGACAGGATAGGCTTTCGGTGGTTGTTCTTTCCTTAGTCTGCACTCGGGGTTTATTTGGACCTTCGGCTTTCGGGCGCCTCCTTGTCCTCGCAACCTTAGGTGCAGGTTCGATTATCAGTGCGCCGCCTGCTAGTTCAGATGACGAACAGTCCGAGGATGCAGGCCCACCACCTGTCCAAGCCTTCAACATGTCTGCCGCTGAGCCCACCCCGGTCTCTCGACCTGCCGGCCCACCACCACCAGAGCCTGTCAATGCTCCTTTCCAGCCTCGTATGTGGTTCCTCCGCGCCGCCCGGCCGCTGGAGGACTATGCGCTAGGCCTCTGGCCGTCTTCAGTTGAAAGGGAGCCCGCCGCGGACGAGGACACTGTCCGCCGTGTTCAAGCCGATTTGCTTGGTCTTCAACGAGGCCTGCGGACCTTTGCTGCCGCCATTCCCCTTGGCACCCCCTTCTGCATTCACAATCCCTTCACCGCCCGACAGCAATGCGAGCTTGTTGAGTATTCTGCTGGCCCTGAGATCAATCCCTTTGTTTTATTCAGGGGACACGCCCGCAGCCGGGGTTGGGCCGATATTGTGCTCCTGCAACCGCAGCCTGATGCTACTGCTGTACACCTTATCGGGTGTCCGCAAGCACCTGGGAACGCAGCTGTCGGCATTGTGCTGGAAGGCCGCCTTGTGCCCTGCTGTCTCCCGGTCTGTGTTGGGACCGCGGCATTACGTGCTCTGCAGCTTGACGGGAGTGAGTACGATCTTCGCCCCCCTGAGGTTCAGGAAGGGTCCTCGGTCGTCCAGTTCCGCAATGGCGACTGTCTGGCTGTGCGACCCCGCTCTCAGTCACGGTCTCCTCCTCCGCCGGAACAAGTCGCCGCCTTTGCTGCCCTGACCAGCGAAGCTGAACTTGCTGCCGGCAGCCCCGACATCCCCTTCTCCTCACAAGGTCGCCCCGTTTTGTCTTGGGGCTGTTTCTCACTGATCTTCTGCCGGTTTACCCCATCAATGTGCCTCTCTCTTGGACTCCTTGCTGGCGCTGCTCTAGCACAAGGCATGCATAGACCAGGTGGATTTCCTTGGGGTACCGATCCAATCAACCGTGACTTTTCCGCCATTACGGCAGAGGACCCGGTCTATGTTGTTCTGCATAGTCCCTTCTTGGGGGTGTTTCCCCCATACACAGCCTCCCATGACACTCGCCACGGTCAAGTCTGGGCTCAGTTCCTCAACGACGACCCGGGATGGGCATCTGATTTCTTTCCCGTGTGGCCGGGCCCCGCCTTCAACGAGTTGTCCATGGTCCCGGTGGGACAAGATGCGGCCCTTGTGACCATTATGCTGATGTGGCGGGGCCACCATAGGGCCACGCTTACTCCGCGGACCATGACAGTGGCGTGGTTGACAGCCTTTATCTCGCGTCACATCAATAGCCCCGTTGATGGCATTTCCCTGCCGCACGGGCTCGCGATCTGCGAGCTCTTTGATGTTCCGCCCGCGGCTTTCCGTTTTCGCAACGGCGATGTCGTGTACATCCATGACCCTCCGGAGGACCCTTCTGAGCCGCTCGAGTTTGTCGATCCTTGGCACCTGCAGGATGGCCTTGCAGCTCACCACGCTCCCTGGGCTACGGGCTTTCAACTTATGTTCGGCATTTCTGTGCACCTACTTCGCCCTAATCGCCCACCCCTGTTGGCCTCTGTCTCAGCTGGAGAAGCCTGGTGCCCAGAATCCTTTACGTTCACCGGCACTTTCCGTAACCACTTTCCGGGCATGTGGACACCCGTTCAGTGGTCCGGTGCCCGGGCATTGCAATTGATCGAGGTCCATGGTGTTGCGGCTCAGGTTAACGTGGTTGCTGCCTCTCCCGAAGGCCGCCTCTGCCGTACCGTCGATCGGATCGCCTCGCGCGATAGCCTTGCCGATCAACTGCACTTCCTCCCTGGATCCCTGCAAGTGGGGGGAGTTCCCTCCTACGCTCTCAATCAGGCCTGTGAGCTTCGGAATGGGGATGTCGTGTTCGGCGACTTTGCCCGAGGGGCCTGCAGCGGCCGTCCACTTCTGTGGGGTTTGGCCCTGGGCCTCGTCCCAGCTTTCTCCTCCTGTCGTACGGGCACCTTTCTTTCGATTCTGCTGGGTTCCCTTGGGGCCTCATTCCGGCTTTTTCTCCCGTCTTCTTATGCTGACCTGGTGCCTACATGGCGCGCAAGCTATGGTTCCGGAAACTTCGGTGTTGAGCCAGACCACATCCTCGGTTATTCCACCAGCTGCCCCACCCAGGGTCTCGGTCACTGTTGCCAACCCTTTTGCGCCATGGCATCGTGTTGAGGCCGACCCACGTCACCTTTTCGATGATGTTATGGCAGACGCCCACCGCACTTTGACATCATGGCACCGGGGATTTGCTGCCACTGGCCTGGTTTTAGAAGGGTCCCAGGTTGTTGTCCCTCTCCCGGGAAGTAGGCTGGTTTGCCTTATTGTCTTGGGTTTAGGTCAGATGCTCTGTGTCATCCTGCCGTCCTTCCTTACCCCTCGAGACCTCACTCAGGCCCTCCAGATGAGGCTTGGCCGTCGCGTGAGCCTTAAACTCCAGCCCGGATTGGGGGCCACCGCTCACTCTGATCGGCCAGTCCTCGCACTCCGTTCTGGGGACGTTCTAGCTGTCTGCCCTCTCCAACTGGACCCTCTCGCAGGGCCTCGCGAGCCCCCGGTGTACTTGACATGGGGTGCTGCCCATGCTGCTGCGGCCTGGCACTCTGATTTTGTGGTGGCCCAAGCCTCCTGTGTGCTTCTGTGGTCCCCTAGCCGTTCCGCTAGGGTCGTGTTGCTGGGCCATCAGGCCAAATGGGACGCAGCGGCAGCTACAGTGCTACATCATGAGGTTGAGCTTGGCCACCACCGCTGGGCCCCCTGCCATGGACATCTCGGCGCTCCCCCATGGCTCGTCGAGCAGTCTCCCTCTCAGGGGCATGCCAATATTATTCAGTCTAGTGGGGCCACAAGGTGTGTTGAGACCGCTCGGGACGCTGCGCATGATTTCTATATTGCCGGGTACTCCCTTCGACCTGCCTCCAGCCGGGCTTGTCAGGTTGCTCAGACCAGGGACGGAGACTGGTGGGTTCTTTCTGCTGCATTCGGTCTCCTGGGGAGGCGCCCTCTCCTCCCTGCCCAACTCGCTCTTGTCTTCTTCGGGCTTCTTGAACCTGTGTGGGGAGCGTCCTCCAGTGCCTCTGGCCGCTGCCCCAGCGCGGACTCTTCCGAGGCGCGTACCATCCGCACTAGGCGACGGCCCAGCAGAAGTCGCTCACCCTCCTATCCCTGGCCTGGAAGGTTCTTTCCCCCTGCCATCGATTTCAATGATGGGGAGCCCTATGTTCCGCTAGGTGGCTGGCAGCCCGATAGCCCTGATGGCCCACTCGCACGTTACTTCCCTGGTCCCCGACCACTCACGGCTCGTGTTTTGTGCCCCCTGAGGGGCTGGAGCGAGACCAGCTTCCTTGACACGACAAGATCATGGCGGTCTATCGAGCAGGAAGGTACGCGCCACTGCGGGCTTTGGGCCCATCGCTTCTTCCCTGTCCGGGCGGTGCTCCCAATTTCGCAGATCACAGTCGCTCCGGTTGCCCCCTACGGTCTTGCTACTGTGGCCCTGCACATTGAAGGTTGTTCGGCCGTGGCTTTTGCCTCGGTGGACTCGTCTCTCGATGACATTCACCGGCTTGCTGTTCGCGTCTTTCCTCACACCCGGTTTTGGCGCGTCATAGCACCACCTGTGCTGCGCACTACCATCCCGAATGCGCATATCCGGCTCCGCAACGGCGATGCTTTTAGCCTCCTTCCCGAGCCTTCCGATCCGGGTGCTACCCGTTATCCCTTGCTGCAGTATGCCTCTCTGGACCGGGCACGGCAAGTTGCCAGCTGGTCGCTCCCTTTTCGCTTTGACTCGGGCGGCTACGTTTGCCTGTGGTACACGGGCCGTCGATCTGGCCACAGTATCCGGATCAGGGATACCGGCTATTGGGATCCCGAGGGCCCCACCTTCTGGAGTCTTAATGGCAGAGCGCTGTCAGGGTCGTGGGTCCCTGTCCTCTCTGGGGATCTCTCCAGTCTGCACCTGGTACACAGCACCTCCACTGGTGAGGCCCATGTCCTTCTCTTACTGCCCCCCGATCTTGAGCCTCAGGGGTTGTTGCTCGCTGGTTGCAATGCCTACCGTGCACCACCTGGGTGGCGCCTTCTACCTGCTCTGCAGTACGTTCGGGCAGACAGTCCTCTCCGAGATGGAGATGTCCTCGTGCTGGACCCGACTGCTGATACGGTTTGGGACCCTACCGGACCGCCCCCGCAAAGCCTTGCGGGTCCGGCCCCGGGCCCAGTTGCGCGCCCATGCTGGGGGCCCTCGTCTTCTGCTGCCGCCGCCATCTCTGGTCGCTGGGCTTGGCTTGCGGTCCTTTCGGCCAGATGGCCCCGGCTTCTCGCCCTGGCTTGCTTGGTTTGTGCCGGTCAGGGTATGGCTCCCGCACTGGACTTGCCGGAACAGCCAATTCGTGTGGGTTTCTTCCCGTGGCGGGCCGCAGCCGCTGCGGCTGATCTGGTTGATCTCACCAACCGCACAGAGATTGACATTGTCCTTCTTAGTCCCTTCACAGGTCCCCAGGAGGCTGGGCGACTGCCCACTGCCTCGACTACCGGAGAGCTCAATGCTCTCACACGCTCCTGCGACCCAGCTTGGGGTGCTGAAGTTGCACCTGTGTGGCCGACAGCTGCCATACCGGCCCTACTGGTTGTTCCCCGTCCCCTGACGCCAGACCTTGTCTGTTTAGCGGTCTCCTCCTTGGATCGGCACTTCTCTATCCTTGTGCCCTGCACTACCTCTGTGTCCTGGCTGGGCGCGGCTCTCCGCTTCCTACAGCCGATGCAAACTCTCTCGGTTCGTGCACCCAGTGCTCTCACAGCCGATGCCACATCTGACCAAGGCGTGCGCTGGCGATCTGGAGACCTGGTTGTTGCATTGCCTCCTGCAGCTTTTGCGCCCGAATACCAGCCCCCGTGCTTTCATTCCGACGCTCAAGTGCGGCATTGCGCCATTTGGGCTGTTGATTTCTCGGTCTCCACCCGTGTCAACTTCATACTCTGGAGGCCTGCTGTTCGAGCCATCCGGGGACACGCACCGGCAGGCAGCCGCTGGCGTGCTCTTGATTATACTTTTGATGGTGACTTTAGCCTCCACTACCCTGGGCGTTGGGTTCCGGTTCCCTGGATCGCCCAGGATCACGCCCACTTGGTTTTGCTGCCGGAGGACCCTTCGAGGGTCAATGTCATTGTGGAAGCAGACGGCCATTGCTGGTGTGCCCTTGTCACAGCCGTTACCGATGCCTGGCAACTCTGGACTGAGCTCCCATCTATCTCTTCTCAGCCCCGCGTCCTTGGTGTCCCACACCAGGAACTGCGCCAAGGGACGACCCTTCGCAGCGGCGATGTTGTTTCCGGCTGTCCAGGACTCTCCCCCTCCTGTTGGCTCCCCTGCTCTTTGTGGCTTGCAGCTTGGTGGGCACTCGGCTCTGCCTCTTCGGCCCCTGGCTATCTTCTCATGTTTGCTGGGCTGCTCGCTCTTCCCCCGGTGTCGGGGGCACGTCTTCCCCACGAGAGCGGCAGTCGACAATGGTCTTTGGCAACGTCAAACTGTGACGGGTCAGCTGCCGAACCGCCTGGCTTTCGCCACCGCCTCTGGGACCCCGCTAGGGGCCTCCTTGGACCTTTTCCGGGACCATCTCTGTTTGTCCCACCTGCTCTCCAGGAGGCCGCACCCGCTTGGTCCGATTTCACCAGGGTTCGACCACCTCAGGACCACCGGTTCATCGATTGGGTCCCGGTACCTTCGGCTCCGCTGTTTGCCACTGTGCTGCTCCAGTGCCCGCCTGCCACTAGAGCTGCACTTCTTCCCGCTACCTGTGCTGTGGCTGATCTTGCACGAGCCAGCAGCCACTTTATTCCTGACTTGTCATACGTCTTGGCTGCGGTACTGCTACGACCTGTACCCCCACCTTATTCCTCCGGTCTGGTGACGTCTTGACTCTGGCCAGCGCCACGTGGGCCCCGCGCCTCCGCTCACCTGTCGGGCGGTTTTGGGAAACCCTACTCCAGGCTCGTCAGCTAGCCTTCTGGGGCAGCCCCTTTCGCGTTAGGCAGCCTGGACTCCTCTTTGCTTGGTCCCCGGGAGACCCGGTCCCGCTTACTGTCCCCACTACCAGTGATGAACAGTGGGATCCTGAACATTGCACCTTCCGCCCTTCACTGGTCCGGTTCAGTGTCGGCCGCTGGATTCCAGCAGCCCGGGTTGACGACCTTGGGCTCCATCTTGTCCCTGAAAGCCCTAATCTTCATTGGGCCCATGTCTTGTCTGCTCGACCCCCCCTCAGCGTTCGAGTGGTGCCTCGCCATGGCGCAGATGGACTCCTGCGGGATGGTGACAGCGGCTCCCCCCTGGGCAGCGCTCCCTCCCGCACCTTGCTCCCGTTGCTTGCCAGTCTGGCCGTTCGCGGGCGTCTGGGTCGGCACTGGTTTTCTCTTCTCAGTGCTTGGGTTCTTCTGGCTGGGCTGCCCGAGTTGTTTCCGGGTACGGCGGCCCTTGGATTCCCGCCGGTCTCCACTCATGCCCTTGCGCGGACTCCAGGTCCTTCGCCCATTGGAGTGGATTTCGGGTTGCTCTCCCGCACCAGCTGCTATTTTCGTGCATGGGGGGCGCCAGATTGGCACAGCCCGGATGGACTCTCCTGGGCGGCAGATATTCACCAAGAGTGTGCCGCTCAGGCTTCCTTGCACCAGTTGTGGTGGACGCACGACCTCTTCCAGAATCTCCCGGCATCCGCTCCAGCGCCTTATCGCCAGGCCTTCTCTAGTTTCCCAGTATGGTCTGGCGGGGTACCCGATCAGGTTCTCATCGCCACTGATGGGAGTGGCGAGCGGGGAGGAGCATGGGCCTTCTGCGTATGGGTTTGGTGGCGTCACAAGTGGCACCGGGTCGGGTGGTTCGGCGCCGCGGGGGCCGATACCCCTTGGTTATCTGGAACTGCGGCCCCCGGGAGTGGTGTCTCCTTTCACGCTGAGCTTTGGGCCTTGCAGGCTGCGGGCCTCTGGCTCCTCGCTTGGGTTGACCGCCTCTCCCTTCTGACGTCAGCAGCGCCTGCCAAGGTCACCATTGCGGTTGACAATGCCTCTGCGCTCCAGATTGCGGCCGGGCAAGCGCAGGCCAGTGAGCCAGTCACCACCCTTACTCGTTATATCTGGCAGGCTGTCCAGTCCCGTATGTCCACTCGCTTTCAGCACATACGATCGCCGACTTTCTCGCTGGCTGGGCTGGTCGGACCTCGTGGCATCCCTGGAAACATGTCGATGCTGCCCTCCCCGCTCTGCTGCAGGAAGCGGCGCCTTGGCTCTGGCTCATTCCACATGCCAAGGTGGTTCAAGGCAGACCCTGGATCCGTCTCACCGCGCAGTCACTTACCCATGCACCAGCAGGTCGAGGGCCCGCTGTCCAGTGCCCTTCCGCCGAGGTGCCCTGTGCGGCTCCGTCGCTAGAGCCCCAGCGACCGTTGCCGCTAGCACCCTCGCTATCCCTCCGCATTGTTACGGCTAACGTTCAAACCATGCGGGACTCTTGTGCCTCCTTCTTCAATCCTTCGGGTCATGGCCAGCGGCGTCAATACTTGTACTCTCAAGTCGCCCAGTTGGGCCTCGATGTGGTCTGCCTTCAGGAGACGCGCAGCAAAGGGGGCCGATGGGATACAGCCGGCCTTCTCACCTGGCGCTCCGGTGCCCAAAAAGGTAGCTACGGTTGCGAAATTTGGGTTAGGCCCCAGATAGTTAACCCCCCCCTCCGCCTGGATGACTGGCGGATTGCCTGTGCTGACCCCAGACTTTTAGTCATAGTCTGTAAACGGGCGGACCTCCCTTTGGCCGTTGTAGCGGCGCATGCTCCACACGCCGACAGACCAGTGCCCGAAATCCACCACTTTTGGTCCTCACTGCAATCTCAGCTGTGCCAGCTCCCACGGGCCCTCACTTTAGTCCTGGGTCTCGATGCTAACGCTGATCTCCTTTGGGCCGATGACGACCATGCCTATATCGGGGATGCTCTCGGTAATGGTGAAGAAGGCGCGGGCGAGCAAGGCCTCTTTGATACCATCCAGCGTTTTGGCCTCCTTGCCCCCGCCTCCTTCTCGGACCTTCAGGACGGCCCGGGCTGGTCCTGGGAGCATACTGGCGGCACCCGCAAGCGTCTAGACCATATCTTGCTTCAGGCTGGCCCCTGGTCCTGCCGTCGCACCCGACAGCTTCCTGAGCTGGACATTCTCAATGGTCGTCGGGATCATATGCCGCTTCTGGTCGAGTGCGACCTTCGGGGCCAGGCCACCCGGCCCAAAGCGCCGGCCCCACCCCGCGCAACTGTGCACCAGGCACGGGCCATTGCTGCCGATCTCTGGGGAGCTCTGCCGTCCACCTTCCGGCACATTGACAGCGTGGGAGCTGAAGTGCAGGCTCTTAAGACCAAGCACTCCTGCTTGCTCCGGGCCCTTCCTCGCCCTCCACGCCGCCCCATCCGACAGCCCTACATCACAGCGGCCTCTGTTGCCGCACTCGATCGAGTTCGGCAGGCGCGAGAACAGCTCCCCCGGCTGCGGACCAATCTGGAGTGGCAGCAGCGTCGCTTCCTCTTGCAAGTCTGGCGTCTGGGTTGCACACATCGGCACCCCGATGCTGCACCCCTGCGCCCTGATCCGACGGGCCTGCAGCATGCCCGCCTCCTTCTCCAGGCTTGTAATCTTCATGTTCGGGGGCTTCAGCAGAAGGCCCACTATCTTGCTAGGTCCGACAAGCTGGCTCATTTCCGCACACTTACTCTGGAGGCGACCAAACACTGGGAAGCTACTGGAGTCCCTCTGGAATCCATCCGGCATCTGCGTTGGGCCTCCCGCAAGGCACACGAGCGCCGGTCTGTCCACGCAGCCGGTGGTTTCGATATTGATAGTGAGTTGGAGGCCCAGTTCCGTGATCAGGAGGGGGCCAGTTTGGTCAGCCCAGTGCAGCTCTCCAGCGCCGCTGAGCGATGGATGAATGAACCGCGCCTCCCGTGCGCCGAGGCGGTTCCCACCCTCTTGCAGATGGAACAAATGTGTGTCCGACAGGCGGCCGCCAAGGCCCCAGGACCAGACGGACTGCGGAACGAGCTCTGGCGCGCGCAGGGAGCCTCAGCAGGGCAGTGGCTCTGGCCCCTGTGCGTGCGCATCGCTCTCCAAGGAAGGGAGCCTTTTGCCTTTAAGGCTGCCATTGTATGCGCCCTTTACAAGAAGGGCCCTTGTCGCGATACGAGCCTATGCAGCTTGGGGGCCGCAAAGGTGTCCACACAGGATTTGCGTTGGCCGCCTTCCGTTGTGCCTGGGACCTTTCCATCTCTGCCGGCCGATGTGTTGCCGTGGTCTTCGTCGATATCCAGGCCGCGTACTATGAGGCCAGCCGGGATCTCCTCTTTGAGGGCTTTCCTGATGACGTTGCCCTGCCAGAGCATCACCACCTTGCTGGGCTGGTTCTCAGCCTTCAACAACAAGGGGCCCTAGCTGCCTTGGGGGTTGCAGAGGATGTTGTTGCGCTCCTCCGTGACTGCGTCGCCCTCTCCCACTGGTCACTCTCTGGTTCTTCCAACATTTTTCTTGCGTCACGGGGGTCTCGTCCAGGTGACGGCCTAGCTGATATCCTTTTTGGGGCCCTCTTCGCTGTCGGTCTTCAGCATATCCAGCGCGTTGCCACCCGCCAGGGCATTGTTCACAACAGCGCCGGCGCTGAAGTCGGCCTCTCCCCAGGGGTCAAGCCCATCGGCTGGGCTGACGACCTGGCGGTTATGGCCGATTTTGACCGACCAGCTGATCTTCTTGTTCAACTGCCCGTGCTGGTTGGCATTATTCTTGACACTCTCCGACTCCTCCGATTTCGTGTTAATTTGGGTGCGGGTAAAACTGAGGCCCTTGTTGACATCCGGGGGGAGGGCGCTCGGGCGGCCCGCGGAGTTCTCCTTACTGGCGATGCCATGTTAAAGATCTCTGATTCTGACAGCATCAGGTTGTGTCCCGAGTATAAGTATCTGGGTGTGGCTCAGCTGCCTCGGGATACGGGCCGCCGCGATTGTGAGCTTGCCGCCCAACGAGGCGCCGCTGCGGCCTCCCTTGCCCGCACCCTCCTTTGCAGCAATTGCTTGCCCTGGGAACTTAAACGGGCTTGGGTCGCGGGACGAGTCCTGCCCTCCGCGTATTCCTCCCTTGCTATGTCTCTGGCCGACTCCGGCCGTGCCACGGCCCCTCTCGCTGGCCTCTTCGATCGCACGGCCAGGATCCTGCTGTCCTCGTGGCAGGTCGGGCACAAGCTCACCACCCCACTGCTTCGGCTCCTCGCTGACATTACTCCTCCTGACCTGGCTACTACCATCAGTCAGTGTCGCCTTTGCGTCCAGCTCTTCTGCAAAGCACCCACGGCGGTGCGTGAAATCGTCGACGCGGCGTGGAACAGGGCCCTCCCTTGGTGCCAGGCCCTCGTTGCAGCATGTATGAGGGTTGGCGTTGCGCTTGAAGTTTGGGACCCTAACTCCCCTCCCGCCGTCACGGTTCTGTTTGTTCATACCCACAGCCGTGCCCTCCTTCGCGCCTGCAAGGCACTCAGCAAGTTTGGACATAGGTACTTTGCCTGTGCTCAGCTGTGGGATGACCTCTCTACCCGTAAGGCCACCCAAATTCTAGGACCCCCCCAGGCCCATCGATGCCCGGTGTGCAGCATCATCTTCCCGAGCCTGCACGCGGTCAGAGCCCACATGCATCGCAAACATGGCGTGCTGTCCGATGTGACTGCCTACATGGCCGGCTCTGTTTGCCTCTGGTGTATGCACGATTTCCACTCTTCGGATCGGCTGAAATACCATCTGCAATCCCACCGGGCCTGCTTGCATGGACTTCGGGTGACGGTAGGGCCTGTCTACCAATATGGGTCGGGCACCAAACGCAAGGGTAGAACGGCCCACAGGGGTGTTCCCCCACAACGCCTATGCGGGCCCTGCAATGCCACCCCAGCACAGCGTCGGGCCGCTGACCTGGGCCTGCCTGCTGATGAGGAGGAGCTGCAACAGGAGTGGGATACAGTGCAGCGCTCACCGGCCCTCTCCGACCTCGTCCCCGGCAACCTGCAACGGGCCGTCACAGGGTCCTCCATCGCTGCTCCAACCCCTGCCGGACTTGGATCTCTCCAAGCTACGGCTCCAGTTTCGGAGCCCTCCCTGTCTCGCCTCGCCTCATCTTTGTCATTTGTGGGTTCCTTGCCCTCTTGGTTCTCCTTTGTCGATGGGGCCGCCTCAGGCAAGGATTGGGCTCTGCCTACACCCTGGTGGCCCGGGCTTCTCGCCATGGGTGGGGTCTTTCGGCTTCCCCCATCGTGGCATTGCTTCTGGCCCCTGTGGTCAGCCTTGGAGCTCCTTGCCCCTTGGGAGTTCCGGGCCTTCCGGTCGCTTGGCGTCCTCCGTCGCGCCTCGTCTTCCGGGCTTGGTGCTCCTGTGTCTCTTGGCGATGCGACCTCCGGCAGATGGTCTCTGTTGGGGATTGCTGCAGCCTTGATCTCCTTCCGCATGTCCTGTAAGGTTGTTCTGCGGTTTGGCGCCCTCTGGATTCCCGGGCGCCCCAGTCAACAGGGCCTTGTCCTCTTGCGGCGGCTGCTTCCTTCTGCCGTCTTCTTGGACTTCTGGTCCCCTGCTGGTCCTGTTTTCCTGGCTGCGAGCTCTGCTTCCTTGGCCTCGTCTGCTCGCGCCATCATTGCCGGTTCTGCTCCTGCGGCCCCGCCCCCGCTTTCCTTGCGGGCTTTCTGGGCCTATCCGGCTGCCTGAGGCCTTTCGTTTTGTACAGGCTCCCTCTTTGTTTTTTTCTAGTTTGGCTACGATCCTACAGCAGGATCGTTTTTGGCCGTGCATGCTTTAGTTAGCACAGGACTCCCCTCTGGCATCAGTGAAGTGAAGTGAAGTTTTAGGGTTTAAGGGGGGGTTTCGGGTTTAGGGTGTTTTAGGGGTTTAAGGGGGGTTTCGGATTTAGGGTGTTTGAAGGTTTAGGGGGGGGGTTTCGGGTTTAGGGTTTTAGGGGTTTAAGGGGTTTCGGGGGGTTCCGGGTTTAGGGGGGTTTGAGGGTTTAGGGGGGAGTTCGGGTTTAGGGTTTTAGGGTTGAGGGGGGTTTCGGATTTAGGGTGTTTGAGGGTTTAGTGGGGGTTTCGGGTTTAGGGTGTTTGAGGGTTTTGGGGGGGGGGGGGTTCGGGTTTAGGGTGTTTGAGGGTTTACGGGGGTTTCGGGTTTAGGGGGTTTGAGGGTTTAGTGGGGGTTTCGGGTTTAGGGTGTTTTAGGGTTTAGGGGGGGGGTTTCGGGTTTAGGGTGTTTGAGGGTTTAGGGGGGGTTTCGGGTTTAGGGTGTTTGAGGGTTCAGGTTTTAGGGTTTAGGGTTTTAGAGTTTGGTGTTTAGAATCTTAGGTTGTGCGGCTTTAGCGTTTTAGGGTGGTTTAGGGTTTAGGATTCTAGGTTTCAGGGTTTAAGGGTGCGCGGGACTTGGTAAGTGGGGCTATAATTTCGGCTATCGGCTATAGATGCCCTTGAGCCCTCAGGTAGGCTTGCCAGATCAGCCACGGTTGAGGGTTCAGGGTTTTTAGGTGGGTTTAGGGTTCGGGTTCAGGGTGTCGGGTGTAGGGTTCCTAGGGCCAAGGGTTTAGCGTTAAGTACAATACTATATAAGGGTACTGATAAAGCCACCTTAGGGGATACTATGCCGGCTTAAGAGTTAAACTTAAGGTTGCAGCACCCCTGCAAAAAGGATACTGGGGCTGCTATGAGAGCTCTCCACACAAGCGGTTCTGGTATATGGTAGGTCCCGGTAGATTTTGAAGTAGAGCCGTACGCTTCAGGGTTCGGGGCTTGGGGTACCCTTACTGCTACTTGTCCAGTATCCTAGTATCCAGGAGAACTAAAGCTCAAACTCTGGGATTACATACGGATTACAGCACCCCAAAAAGTTTGAAGGTTGCTTATACTACGAAGTACTTGGGATCGCTGTAACCTTTCCCCCAGATAAGGGGGACAAATCCCGCCACTAGGATTTAGGGTTTAGGGGTTTGGGGGTTTGGGGGTTTAGGGGTTTAGGGGTTTAGGGGTTTAGGGTTTAGGGTTTAGTAACACCCTTCTAAAATCCAACCCCTGAGTCTGAGTCTGAGAACCGCGGGTGGATTCCGGTCACCTCGGTGTCAATGCGGTCTTCAAAGCACCCAAAAACCCATCCGGCACGGCCTTCGAGGTTTCGGAAAATGTTTCTGACACATAGGGGTTTAGGATCCAAGCCAAGCAAACACCGACGTCACCCCAATCTCCCGGACTCTGAAACAACCCTTAACCCCAGACCCTAAACCTTCGGCCCTAAGCCCCAAACTGAAAGCTCTATGCCTCAGACCCTAAAAAGCCCTAGCCCTAGACCCTAAACCCTCGGCCCTGACCTAAACCGAAAACTCTAAGCCCTAAACCCGTAAACCCCAAACCGTGCCTTAGACCCTAAATAGCCCTAGCCCTGGCCTCCTGTGGCGTCTGCGGCTGGGGGATCGCCTCGCAGACAGCCTCCGGGACTGCCTTCGCTTGCATTCGGGCTTTGGGGCTGAGTTAAGGGTTCCTTTACGGGATCTACACGGTTTGAGGGTTTAGGGGCTTCGGGTTTTAGGGTTTCGGGTTTTAGGGTTTCGGGTTTTGGGGTTTAAGCTTTTCGGGTTTAGGGTTGCTTGGGGTTGAAGGCACTTAGGGCTTCTATCAGGACCTCCTCGTCAAGTCGTTTTCATGGCCTTTGCATCACGGGCATCCGGGCTTGTTGGGTGCCGCAGGGTTGATCTCGGACAGGCTTTTCACGGGTATTTAGCGGCAACAATTCGTAAACAACAGGAAGCAAACTGATACGAAGCTCAAAAACCCTGGACCCCAAACTCCAAACTCGAAATTCCCTACCCTGCTTTTTAACAAAGAAGCCCCAACCCTCAACACTGACCGTTGGTTAGTAGGGAATGGAAGAATGGCAGTAATAGTAGTTATAATTATACCCCATTCCTCCATTCCCTACTAACCAACGGTAAGAACATACCCCATGGCTGGGCCTCGAAGTCCTCTGCTGCCTCCTCTTCCTCACAACCCACATCGGGGGCTGCCTCGCTTGCGACAGGTAGTCTTTGGAACTTCAACCCTAAACCCTAAACTTTTTACGTTTCAAGGGCTTAGGATTTAGGGGTTTCGAGGTGTCGGGTTTAAGGCCTAGGGGTTTTTCTGACTATAAACTTCCAAAAGGATGCTGAGAGGGCTTTACACAGGGCTGTTGCGGTCTTACTTACTACTACTAAGAGTCCTTAAGCCCTGAACTTCCGAATTTGGGGCTCCAAACGTCGGTTCTGGGACTTCGGGGCTCCTTCCTTTCGTGGTTCGAAGTTCCCTTGAAAAGCCTGGCTTTCTAATGAGGGCTTCGAGTTTATGGTTTTAGAGTCTAGGTTTTCAGGGTCTAGGGTTTTAGGGTTTAGTTTGGGTTTCGGGTGTAAGGTTGCAGCATCTAGGGTCTTAGGGTTTAGGGTGTCGGGTTAGGTTAGGGTTCTGTCTGACATCCTTTGCATGGGCGGGAAATGAAATTGGGAGTCCCCGTCCACGTGCAGTAGTTGAAGGTGAGTTTGAGGTTTCGGGTCGCGGGCATCTGAGCTACGTCCACACGACTAGCCCGGCTGTGGATTTAAATAAAGCCCTAACGTTCAAGCACCAAACCCAAAGCTCCAAACTCCAAGCCAAACCCCAAAGAACCCTCATAGCAGCCCTTTGTAGAACCCTTTTCAGAACTAACCCTGCGAAGAAAACACCATCCCCAAACCCCAAACCCTCAACCCCATCCCTTACACCTGAAAGCCTTAACCCCAAGCCCTAAACCCTGAACCCTAAGCCTTAAATCCCTAGACCCCAAACCCCTGAATCCTAAACCCCAAACCCCTGAATCCTAAACCCCAAACCCCAAGCCCTAAACCCCAAAGCTTAAACTCCACACCACAAGCCCTGGCCTGGTAAGCTTCGGAGTCTTCCGTTGCTTCCGGCAGCTCCATCTCCAGATCCTCCAGCTCCACCTGATACAAAACAAAGGGGACCAATATCCCTTAGTTTAAGGAATAGCTAGGGTTAGGGCGGGACTCCAATAGATACCAAACCAGTGGGCCTAATATCCCTTAGTTAAGGAATAGCTAGGGTTAGGGCTCCTTTAAAGGATCTGTTTAGGGGACTCCAATGTGCCTTAATTTGGAATATGCCTCAAAGAATAGTAGGATCCCTAATATGATTTAAGGAATATACCCTAAGTAAGGTTTAGGGTCAATGCTTTAAGGTTGAGGGTTTAGGGTTCACAGTGATTCCAATACCCCCTTTTGTTCAAGGCAAACTTAAGCAAACTGCTTAATTTCAGGTTTTGGAGGTTCCACACGACATCCTTAGGGTGTTTGGGCACTTTTGGCTTCAGGGATTACGGGTTTAGGACGGCTCAAAACCGTTTAGGCCCGAAACTGTAGGGCTTTCGGCGTCAGGGCTTAGGATTGTTTAGGGATTTTTTGTGGTCAGGGTGTAGGGGTTTAAAGTTGAGGAGCCGAGGGTTTCAAGGCTCTTTCAGGCAAATATTCGGTTCTACACAACGGGGCAAACAAAAAAGCCCGTACACTTGGACTGGGGCTTTGAGTAGGCTTCGATCCTGTAGGAAGTGTTAACTATCACTACTTCCCGCAACCATGCAGCCAACCTCCTCTTCGTCCCCATCTTCCGCTGGGTACACAGCAGGCTCCTCTTGAGAGACAAAAGAGCAGTCTGCTTGAAGTGTCTGGTCCTTTTCCTGAGCCCGAATCAAAACCAACAGGTCTTTTGCTCACACAATCGGCCCAAACTGCAAGAACAAGCCCTCGGCATAGCTAGAGGATGCAGTTGTGTCGGGATATGGGGCATCTCGGCATATCGGGACCACACAAGAAAGGCGTCTTGAATCTCGTCTTCCATCAATGACCTGCAACCCTATCCTATACACGTCTCAAGCATCCGTTGAAGCTAACAGTCAAGATTTTAAGATTATGGTCAGGCGGGCAATATTTATTGCTTACGGTTTCGGTTTAAGAACTGGCCTTAAGCACTTGCTTCTAGGCCCTCACACGAATCATCAGTGGGCTCCGAGGCTTCTCCACAAGATGGCAAAGTGATCTGCAAAGTGCATGGACACTGTGGGGTAGAAAAGAAAGGCTGCCTTGCAACCCTTGCAGACGGAGAACCAACTTTTCAGACTGCATTGGTGAGCATAACAGCCAAATGCCTGTTTGGACAAAGCTCCGCAAAACGTTCGGGAACCCGTGCACGTGCGCACACAGAACTACAGGTTCACACAAACGAAAGCAGCAAACACGTTTGGTGCTTGAACCTCAGGTCGCGAAGAAACGTGCCTCCACAAGGTGGAACCTCTTGTCGGATACCCCACAATCCTGTCGAACAGGGAAAACAAGATCCATTGCGTGATGCCATCATCGCAACTTCCCCAGATGTTTCTTGGACATGCCGAAGCAGGATCGTCTTGAACATAACGTTAATGGGCAGCATGCTTCCTTCCATTGCCAACAAAATTCCGCCTATGCATCCGTGAATGCGGCTTTGTTGTGTGTCACAAAGAGACCTGGGTAACCGGATGCGTGTCAGAGCCACCCGCCAGCTTGGATCTGCAAGATCTCCGCATTGGCATGCTCCCCAGACAGGAACTCATGAGTCCATGTTGGTGAGAAGGCAACACATCTGCGCCTGTTTCACACTCCACGGCAACTGTTCGCA